TTAATCAACATATTATATCCCGGGGGGTGTGGATTTAAAACATTGAAATTCTCTTTAAATTTCAATGAATTTTAAATTACAGTTTAAAGTTTACACTTGATGTTCATGTAAATATCAAAACTTGTTATTTTATTTTTTACCCGCGTCTTACTCAGGGAAAATTATATTCTTGTCTTACAACTTACATATTTTTATCAAATGTACAAATGTAAGTTTCTTTATTTATTCATTTATTCAATTATTCAATTATTCATTTATTTATTTATTCCTTTATTCCTTTATTCATTTATTCATTTATTCAATTATTCATATATTCATTTATTCGTTTGTTTATTTACTTATTTATCTATTCATTCATTTATTCATTTATTCATTTATTCACTTATTCACTTATTCACTTATTCATTTATTCATTTATTTATTTATTTATTTATTCATTTATTAATTTATTAATTTATTCATTGATTAAAATGCATATATTTAAATTCATTTATTCATTCTTTTCAATGTTCAATTTGTAAGAATGATAAATTTTTGTTTTACTTTAAAATTTATTTCTGCTGCAGAAGGAAATTTTGCAAAGTAACACTTTTGATGGTAGAAAAACAACGATATTACACAAATAAAGGTTTTAAGAGTTCCTTGGTGAAAGATAAGATCAGTCCCTTTAATTAACATATTATATCACCTGGTATGAAAGATAAGAACAATCCCTTTAATTAACATATTATATCACCTGGTATGAAGGATAAGAACAATCCCTTTAATTAACATATTATATCACCTGGTATGAAGGATAAGAACAATCCCTTTAATTAATATATTATATCACCTGGTATGAAGGATAAGAACAGCCCCTTTAATCAACATATTATATCACCTGGTATGAAAGATAAGAACAATCCCTTTAATTAACATATTATATCACCTGGTATGAAAGATAAGAATAGTCCCTTTAATTAACATATTATATCACCTGGTATGAAGGATAAGAACAATCCCTTTAATTAACATATTATATCACCTGATATGAAAGATAAGAACAATACCTTTAATTAACATATTATATCACCTGGTATGAAGGATAAGAACAATCCCTTTAATTAATATATTATATCACCTGATATGAAGGATAAGAACAATCCCTTCATATTATATCACCTGGTATGAAAGATAAGATCAGTCCCTTTAATTAACATATTATATCACCTGGTATGAAAGATAAGAATAGTCCCTTTAATTATATCACCTGGTAAAACCTCCCCCATGAATGAAAACAAGAACTGGAAAATTTCCCTGAAACAATAAAACTGTTTTGTATAAACAATTAGATCTAATTAAAAAAAACCATTCATTAAAAAATTCACATTTCCTATAAAACAACAACTTTGCAGATTTCTGTAACAGAAAAGTATAAATGTATAAAAAAAAATATAAAAATAAAAATATATGTAAATGAAAGGTAGGAGCATTGTGAAAATAAAGAATGAATAAATTGATTTGTGTTGAGATTGGAACATGATTGGAAAATAAAAAATATAAATATTTCCGAAAGAAAATGAATGTAGGGAAAAAATAAAAGTACACTGTATTTCCAACATGGCCAAAATTAAACTTCCCATATGTATTTCTGAATTCTGATTTTAAAAGGCAGTTTAACTTCCTTGGTGGATGATTTGTTTCATAATAAGGAAGTTCAGCCCTGGTACTTCATGTAGTATGTATATCATGTACTGCATGTAAAGATACGCTGAACTTCCTTAAATAGAGAAATAAACACCCTGTTTAAATCAGAAATACGAGGAAATTTGAAATTGGCTGGTAGAAATTAGGCTTGTTAATCGCTTTTAAAAACTATCGAAAAAACGATCGTTTTTCGTTATGTTTTAATTTTTTTCTAAAAACGATCGTTTCTTTTTACGAAAAAACTTTAGTTTTAGAAAACGGACAACTCGCTTTGAACTTTTGAGAAAACGAAAAACGATATTTTTTCAAAAACGATCGTTTTTTAAAAAAAATTTCGCTAATGCAATCTCAGTTTTATAAGAATTAATTTCAATTTTTTTTTCAATGTTTTTTTACCTCAAATTTTCCGACCGAAAAATGTATTTTCTCTTTGAAAGGTCGTTAACGATCGTTAAAGAAGGGTCGTTTTTAATAAAGGAAAAACGATCATTTTTAAAAACAATCTTTTTTTTAAAACGACAGTTTTTCTAACAAAAAACAATCGTTTTTAAAAACGATAGTTTCGTTTTTTATATTTTCTTCATCGTTTTAAAAACGAAACGATAGTTTTTAAAAAAAATTGGAAACGATCCATCCCTATCGTGTATGTATTAAAGAATACGTTTAAAAAAAAGTATTGAAGTACAGGAAGACGTAAAGAAAAACTAAAAAAATACAAATTGAGGTAAATGGATGGAATCTCTCAATCAACGAGGAAATATAAAGAACATGCCTAATTGTTGAAGATTGATAAGATGAGAATTACCTTCAAATTTGGTGAGTAAATGTTTAAAACCAGCGCATTCTCGTTTCCAATACTAAAAAGTAGACAGTAGACAGTAGACAGTAGACAGTAGACAGTAGACAGTAGACAGTAGACAGTAGACAGTAGACAGTAGACAGTAGACAGTAGACAGTAGACAGTAGACAGTAGACAGTAGACAGTAGACAGTAGACAGTAGACAATTAATTGTAGTCAGTAGACAGTAGACAATAGACAGAAGATACTCGATCTTAAGCTGTTTCTTTGTATGGGTCAAAATAAGAAATTAAACTAAATATATATATATTTTATTGTCTAGCGCCTAATATTTCTTACTTTGACCAACTGATTGCTTGAATCAAACTCTAATTTTTATCCTCATTTGCATTTTTACAACCATACGTCGCAGGCTGTGGAAATTGAAAGCCATAAATTTTGATAAAGCTACATAGTGTGAGTTGATAATATCAAAGATGTCTGGGTTAGAAATTTAGAGTTTGAGGTAAAATTCAGTATTTTAAAGTTATTTTACATTTTAGAATAAATGTTTGATACCTTGGTGTTCCTTTCTTGAAGATATTTTTCTGAACGAATTCTATGGATTTAGTGCAAACCTTCACTCCCTCCCAGTTCTCCACAGGCTCAGGTCTCAAAAATCTAGAAGTTAAAAAAGTTTGGGGTGTCTCAAAAAAAACTTTTTAAAACAACAATGTAAACTATTAATTGAAATATATATCATTGCGGTAAACAGTTTTTAAGCAAATCAAAATTAAATATTTTTCTTTAAAAAAAAAAATCTTGAAATTCGCTAAATTTTTTATGTCCAACGCAGTTTTTGAAAATGAGGTGAAATATTTATTTATGTTTTTTTATACAAAACAACTTGAATTCAAAGCTATCACCAGTTACAGGGCATTTCTATAGATGCAAAAGTATGAGTGAAAAGTTTGAATGATACCGTAATGCATCAAATAAAATTAAGTTTACACTCCCTTTAATGAAATAATATACCTGAGTTTTCCCAAGGGGGGCTTGGCATACGGAATCCCTCAAGTTTTTTTTTTTTATTCATTCTTGAAATTAAATCACAGAAAAGATAAGATTTTATTCGAAACATAATGAAAAGAATTTCGAAGTTAAAGTACATCTTTTGAAGCTATAAACAAAATGTGTTAAATGTTCCAAATATTTTGTTCGTTATTTCTAACAAAATATTTTTAATTTCGAAATACTTTCAGTTGTGTCAGTCATGAAGTATAAATTTTAGGGTTTTCTCCATTTCATAGAAAACATTTCAAAGAAAACCATTTTATGAACAAGACATTTCAGAGATAAGACATTTCATGGACAGGACAATTCATAGACAGGACATTTCATAGACAGGACAATTCGTAGATAGGACATTTCATAAGCAGGACATTCCATAGAGAGGACATTTCATAAGCAGGACATTTCAAAGAGAGGACATTTCATAAGCAGGACATTTCATAAGCAGGACATTTCATAGAGAGGACATTTCATAAGCAGGACATTTCAAAGAGAGGACATTTCATAAGCAGGACATTTCATAAGCAGGACATTTCATAGAGAGGACATGTCAAAGAGAGGACATTTCATAAGCAGGAAATTTCATAGACAGGACAATTTGTAGATTGAACATTTCATAGACAGGACAATAATTTGCAGATAGGACATTTCATAGATAAAACAATAATTCGTAGATAGGACATTTCATAGATAGGACAATAATTCGTAGATAGGACATTTCATAGAAGACAATTCAAAGACAGGACATTGCTAAGACATGACATTGTGAAGACATGACATTGTAAAGACATGGCATTGCAAAGACAGGACATATAATAAATAGGAAATTTCATAGACAGAGAAAATTTTTCATAGAGGATCTGGATTTCCTGAACAACGGAAATATTAATAGTTTGATTTTTAAATTCTAAGTTGAGTGGGTTGACTATGATTAGAAAAAGTTATTGCAAAGCTGGGTTCTCAAGCTAGTTATAAAATGTACTTTACAATATGTACTTACATGAACTGACAAGGGAGGGTAATGTACTCCAAAATCCTTGTTATTAGACAAGGAAAAATGCAAACAAAAAGTTTAAGACTCCATACTTGACCCATCAATGAATTCGAGTATAACGTGCAAGAAATTAATTTTATCAATTTTTCTAATTGATTGATCATTGGAGGACCATGCACTTTCTTTATCTATTTAATTGAAGGATTTTGTTATTATTACTAACATTAGGTGGAAAAAATAATCAAAACAGCCAAGAGCTATTTTCCACCTAATTGCTTTATACTTGTACTGTTAATATAATCATCAATTTTGTGATTGTAAACTCTATCTGTATACAGATACATTTATTTAGCAATAAACTTTATCTTATCTTATCTAGGTAATGTTTTTCCAACTAAACAATGATGCCTCAATGAAAAAAATTTACCTTTAGTATAAATATGCTTCCTTTACAAGTCCCTTTCTGGATTGAAAAATTTTATTAAACCTTTCGGAGACCAATTTTTTCCGAAGCTCTCCGATAAATGAACAGAGGAGCAATTGTAAACGATGAAAACTTCTTTAACTGAAATTGCAATGACAACTTGCTGAAAATACCACTTACAAACATAAGCATCAGACATGAACTTCAATTCAGACATGTCTAAATATATTTCTTTGGTTTCATTTATACTTTTTATAGAAATCCTTTGTATCATTTATACTTTTTATAAAAATCCTTGGTTTCATTTATACACTTTTTATAGAAATCATTGGTTTCATTTTTATTTTATAGAAATCCTTGGTTTCATTCATTATTTTTATAGAAATCCTTGGTTTCATTTATACTTTTTATAGAAATCCTTTGGTTTCATTTATACTTTTTATAGAAATCCTTCGTTTCATTAATAATTTTTATAGAAATCCTTGGTTTCATTTATACTTTTTATAGAAATCCTTGGTTTCATTCATAATTTTTATAGAAATCCTTGGTTTCATTTATACTTTTTATAGAAATCCTTTGGTTTCATTTATACTTTTTATAGAAATCCTTGTTATCCGTTATTCATTTATAGAAATCCTTGGTTTCATTTATACTTATACAAAGGAAAAGGATAACTATTTATTACTGTGAAAATGAACAAAATTTAATATAATTTTTTTGCTCTATGAATATATGACATCTGACTCATAATCGGTAAACTATTTTATTTCTAATATGATCCCGTTAAATACATCCAGATTTCACTAAGAAATGTTGCACATTTTCAAGATTCAAGAACTTACAACCTTTGGATCAATGTTCCCTGACGTAAAAATTTATAAAAGTTGGTTTAGATTAAGCTCTTTTCTTGATTTTCAAACGAATTAATCATACAAAATTGTGACAGAAGATAAAAATCAAAAATTGTTTACCCCGTAACTTTGCTTTATTTTACCTTTCAAGTTTAAAACAACTTCAAAAGTTCTGATCAAACTTTTTTCAAACTTTTAACTAATTCTTAGTAGATTACAAAAAAAACATTATTTTAGTTCAAAAAAGTAAAGGAAAAAATTGTCGCAACGCGTCGCGGCATAAAATGCGAGAAAATATATATTTGGCTTGTCTGTGTGTGTGTGTGTGTGTGTCGATCCAATCAACGTCAAAACGGCTAAATAGATTGGACCTAATTATTGTGTAACAATTCACGTGACCCCCGGAAAGCTGAAATTAAACTATTTTGCCCTTGAAAAAATTCGACAATTATTTTTTTTTAAAAATGCATCTATTCAAATAGAAAAGCAGCGGAATTTTGCGTTTTTTGGAGAATGTTGAAAAAATTGGCAACATGAAAATTAACAATTAAAAGTTAAAATTGTTTTATAGAAAACCTAGTATTATGTGCTGAATTATCTTCAAGGTTTTAAACCAAAAAATGTCAAGAATATTAACATTAACAATTTTGTTTAATTTGCTCACATTTTAAGATCAAATAAATAAAAAATTCCTTGAAAATTCGCGAACATTCTATTTCCTTTTCCACTGTAACTCCAAGAACCCATCACCTACAAAATATACTATTAAATACTTTTTTATTCTTTATTTTATTGGAGCAGGGTGTCTTTCAAATTTCATGGACTTTTGTTTGCCAAACATAGATGTCAGCACATAATTTAATATTACTATGTCCATAGTATTTTCCCGACGGAACTCCCGTTTCACCGTACTTAGAACGTACACAGTCGCAGACGTCTTTTATTTGTAAAAAGTATTGGTCAAAGTAACTCGGCTCAGGACTGTTAAAGCTTAGGCTCATAAGCTTTAAACATATAAATTTATAATTTAATATGAAGCGCGGGTAAATAGAATGAGTACCTATGACAATGAGTGCCAGGAACTCCTGCTAGCATGGTTCTTGTTTACTATAGAGTACAGTAAAAAAAAGGTGGTTTGAAATTCAACAGTTAAAAGATAAAAGCGCCCTAAAAGCCTAGTTTCTTAAATCAATGTAAAATTCTAAAATATGACACACTCCTCGGTTTTTTTAGGAATTCGCTTGAACGTAAAAAATCAGAAACGGACCAATAGAACGATGTATACATACATTATTATTGTTTAGCTAACTAACTTTTATTTTTGTAACTTGAGATGCTAAAATCTGAATGTTTGATATTATAAATAATCATATATTAGTTTAATACACGTCTCGTTTGAAAAGTAAAAATGATGGTAATACTGAATTTAAACTATTTTAAATTTGCCTCTTTTTATCATAATTAAAATTTGTTGACATTTAATAGATACGTTTACTTATCAGTCCTTAACACTGATAAGAAGAATGAATTTTAACATATCTAGATATATAATAAATATCTTCGCTTAAATATATATACATACTAGCTAAAGTGCCTGGCGTTTCCCGTACTTGATATTCTATTTGGATATATATGAGATAGTTATATATATATATTTGGATATATATGAGATAGTTATATATATATTTGGATATATATGAGAAAGTTATATATATATATTTGGATATATATGAGATAGTTATATATATATATATATTTGTTCGTTATAGCTGGCTCAGATTATTTGATCTGTCTGTCTGTTTGTTTGTCCGATCATAACTCAGGAACCCCAGGACCGATTTGCCTTATGGACTTCTATCGTGAAAAGTAGCTGAAATCTTCACTTACGAGCAAGTTCGGATAAACGACGGGAGTAAATATGAATAACCAGAGCTGAAAACTTTAGAATGTGATATCCTTAATCCCGATCTGTTGACTTATCTGGAGATTAAATTCATGAGGAAAACAAGCCATATTTACTCTGGATATTAAGAAAAAGAGTGGATTAAGCATTAATCCTGATATCCACCATTCTAAAGTTTTCAGCTCTGGGCAAAGCTGGGTTCCTAAGCTAGTATACACATAAAGTTTTAATATCTGTTTGTCTGTTTTTTTGACCGATCATAACTCAGGAACCCATTGACCGATTTGCCTGCTCGGGAGACCCATAAGAATGTTCTTAGCTTGGTTTTGAGATTATACGTTGACCTGGTCCACTATTACCGGGAAAATGGCTAAAATCGTAATTTACGACAATGACTGGTAAACTTTGACTCCCCTGGGCAACGCCGGGTTCCCAAGCTAGTATATTGTTTTGTGAATCCACAAACGAAAACTGAAAAATCTGCGAAATTTTAGATTGATTTAAATTTGGAAACTTGCAACAAAATTGATGGCAGAAAACATTTTAAAGCTACGATTCTTTAAAATGTTCCCCAAATTCAAAATATTTAAAAATCAAATTTAAAAACCAAATATTATAGTTTGAATTTTGTAGTAAAGGAAAGTGATCAATTACAACTTGAAAGTTCATTTTGAAACTATTGTTATTTTCTAAAAAGGAATATTTGAATTTGATCGAATTATAACCTGTCCATTTTTTGTTGAGACTACAGGGGGTGGAAGTCCGATCTTTGGAAGCAATCGTTTACCAAGAACTCGTCTTAAAAGAAGCAGCAGACCTGGAAGCAGGAAGAGCAGCATTATATAAAAGAGCATCCTAGCGGCTTCTCACGGGTTTCTGCAATTATTATGTTTTTAAAGCATTAGATATTGTCATGAAAATAGCAATATTTAAAAAATCCATTAATCCAGAAAGGGTGTTATTGAAAACAAACAATAAAACAGGATTATATCAGATAATTATCAGTCAATTTATAATTTTAATTACATTATTTAGATTTTCATAAATTTTCACAAATTTAAAGAACCCATAAAATATGAAGATTGATTTTTTGTTGCTATTTTGATATATCCATTATTTTTTATTGTCGATGGTAACGATTATCTTTTATAATTTGAAATGAACTAAAAATTATGATTTCATAAAACTCTTTATGCATTACACGCAAGCACACACCTTGTTTATTTTTTTACGCATAAGCTTAGACTTAGGCAAGCACAACATATAAAGGATCAGTTCTTTGCACGAAGAATATTATCTAGTTTAAAGTTGATAAACGATTGAATTAAAGAAAAGGAGGATACAATTGTTACAATTTATTTTCGGATCAATATGAATCCTTGTATTCTAACTAGGGACGGGCACTTTAGATTTTTTTCAAAACTCATTTTTTAATTTTTGGATAATTTCATAACGAACTTTTTTTAAAGTTGTCGTTTTGAAGAAAAAATCGTTTTCCGTTTTAATAACGAAAAAAGATATTTTTATCATTTTCCCTTTCATCACGAAAAACCATATTTTTGCACAATATTTTTTCGTTTTCCGTTTTAAAACGAAGATCGATCGTTTTCCTTTTAAAAACGTAAAATGCATTTTTTCCGTTTTCCATTTCAAAACGGAAAACGATGCCGATGAACTTTATACAGCAGAGACTTTTATAACCATCTCATCCCTGGAAGTATATTGATAAACACATAGTGATAAAAATGGTAAATGAAAACAGCGCAGTTTAAAAGTTTTCACTGTAAACTTGCCAATGCATTGCAATGTCTCATTTAGACGATTTTTAATGATTTATCCAGGTTGTAACATGGCTTTCAGAGATTTTACATAATTTAAAATTTTATTTTTGATATATTTCTGTCGTGAAATTATGCCAGCTTATTTTTGAAACTGAAAAAATAAACAGGGTTTCCAACAAAGCATGAAACTTTAATTTCGACATCTGAAGGTTAAACTCGGTTCTCCCCCCTCCTCCCCCCTCCTTCCCCGGCCCTTTACCTTGACAATTCCATAAGTTTAGGCATTCCAAGTTAAACTATAAATGATGGAATATCGTTATTATTATGCCAAAAAAGTTTACATTTCAAAAGAATTGAGTCTTTGCCACAAACTCGATCTGGTTTCCTATAATTTTGCAACCCAATGTCGTGTAGACCTTAAATTTTAAACTATGAATAATGTTAGATCAAATAATCTAAGTTTGAAATATCAAAGGTTTTCACTTTGCAATCAGTCGCAAAGAATCAATTATTTTTCAACCTTTAACTTAATTTAAATTGATATTCCCCTGTTGTCTATATGTAGTGTCAATGTTCATGTAGTGTCATATTCACGCATATGCAGTTCTAGGTATTTGAACTTGCAACAGCAGATTCAGAACTATATAATAGTGACCAATAATGACTAAATCCTCCAGAGCTCACAAAAAATAAGTGTTCTCTGTAATGTGTATTCATAGTAACAAGGCCAGTTTTTTCCTCCGAAACGAAAAACGAATTTTTCAGTTTTTCGTTTTGAAACAGAAAACGAGCTTTTGTTCAGTTGTCTTTTGAAAAGAGAAGAAGATTAATTTTTCAGTTTTTCGTTTTTAAACGAAAAACAAATTCCTTCAGTTTTCCGATTTAAGACGAAAAACAATTCTTTCAGTTCTCCGTTCTTTATATCTTTGTATATTATTCTTGGTTTAGTCATCCTTGTATTTTATCCTTGGCTTTAGCAATCCTTGTATACTATCTTTGGTTTAGCAATCCTTGTCTATCATCCTTAATTTTAACAATCCCTTAGACTATCCTTGGTTTAGCAATCCATACATAATATCCTTGGCTAGCAATCCTTATATATAACCCTTAGTTTTAACAATCCTTGTATACTATCATTGACTTAACATTTCGTAAATGCTATGCTTGGTTTAGCAAACATTGTATACTATCTTTGTAAACTATCCTTGTATACTATCCTTGGTTTCAGCAATCCTTGAATACTATCCTTGGTTTGAGCAATCCTTGCATATCATCCTTGGTTTTAGCAATCTTTGTATACTATCCTTGGTTTAGAAATTCTTGAATACTATCCTTGCTTTGAGCAATTCTTGCTATATCATCCTTGGTCTTAGCAATCCTTGCATATCATCCTTGGTTTTAGCAATCCTTAAATACTATCATGGGTTTAGAAATTCTTGAATACTATCCTTGGTTTTAGCAATTCTAGCATACCATCTTTGGTTTGAGCAATCCTTGCATATCATCCTTGGTTTTAGCAATCCTTGAAAGCTATTCTTGTTTTTAGCAATCCTTGAATACTATTCTTGGTTTTAGCATCCTATCATACCATCATTGGTTTTAGCAATCCTTGTATATTATCCTTGGCTCTAGCTTGGTAGCAAGCTGAAAAATTTACTGAACAGAACAGAACAAAAAGTCAGTTTTATCAAAACAAAAATGTTCGTACTTTTTCCTCTTATCTTTTTATACAGAAAAATTCCAGTTTGTCGTTAAGCAGTTTATTTTTATCTTTATCTTTTAAAAGATATTTGCAAACTATGCATGATTAAAACAAGGAAATAAAAGGGACTGATCAGAAAATTTGTTTATTCATGGTTCTCAAATAAAATTCTAGAACGTACCTAAAGACCCTTTCTACTTTCTATTGTGAGGCTGGGAAGAAAGTGAAAGAAATGTTTATATGGCCATATTTTTTTTAAAGACTAACTAATCTAAAAAAAAATCTTAAGCTTAATGTTGGATGTGTTTAAAAAACTCGACGAAAATACGTCTGCAAACCCTCAAACGATTAAACTTTTAAACCATTTAATAAGATTTAAAAAATAATGAAATATTGGAAAAATTTATTAATATTTCTAATGTCTTAATCAAAACAAATGCAGAGCAAAGTCACAGGAAAGAAATAATTATGAGAATTGAAAGGGGGGAATATTTCTCACTTATTCTTTCGATGTCTCCAAAGTTCTGTGTTATAATATAGTACAGGGTGTCCCAATAAACATGGGAATTCAGTGAGGAATTCGATATCGTCTTTTTTATATAATTCTTTGATTTAGTATAGTGATTGATAACTACTGAGAAAGCTGTAATCTGTAAGAGTTTCGTCTGCTATGTTCACAATCACATTTTGTTTGTTTATGTTTTGACTGCATGCGGTTGTACTTAGTAAAACAAGAAAATTGCAGTATACAAACAGAGCTGAAAACTTTAGAATGGTGGATATCGGGATTAATGCTTGATCCTCTCTTTTTTTATAATCTCAAGATTAACATAATCTTGCAAGATTATCTTAATAGTGTATGAAAAACTGTAATCACCAGAGAAACTGTAGCAACCAATCAGAGAAAAGCGGACAACCAATGAGAGAACAGAAATATTCTCATTGGAGAAAACAATTAACTGATATCCAAGGAGAGTGAAAAAGAGTGCATTAGGGCAAAAATGAAAAGTTTCCACAGTGGATGTTCGGATCAAGAAGTCAGGATTAAAGTTTATCCATTCTAAAGTTCCCAGCTCAGAGTAAACTTGTCCGTCTTCACTGTTCATCTTGCGAATACATTATAGACACATCTTTACAGTCTTTTACCGTCTTCATAAACTAAACTCTAGCAGACATAATTATATTATGGATTAAATTAGGTATTACAATGCTTATTCATAACAAAGACAATATCCAATTCGTCACTGAATTCCCATGTTTTTGGGACACCCTGAAGGTAGAAATAATTATTTTTGAAAAAAATGTATATTTACTGACAACGATTGATTTCAATATTTGACGTAATTTGATTGCAAAAAATAAACTCTTTCAAAAAATCGTTTTTCATCGATTAAGAGCGAAAATATTTCTTATACGTACCATTTATACTTATTATTTATAACTTTTGAGGTTTTGTGTGCGAAAACTTTGAATTTCAGCAAAAACAATTGCGCACCTCAATTTTGCAGTGGAATATGAATCTGAAGCACGCCCTCCCCCCATATTCCTCTTTTAGTTGCGCCACTTTCTTACACAGGGTTACCCACAAAAGATGAAAAATCAAAGACGACTGTACGAAACTTGACATACCAATTCAATTTCAAGACTTTATTAAACGTTTAAAATGCAATCTTCAAAACTTTAAAGAGTTTTGGGTTGTACTGAAAGTCTAATCCTTTGTGGGTAACCCTGTATATTTACAGAGTACAACGACCCATGATACCAACATAACCCTGTATATTTACAGAGTACAACGACCCATGATACCAACATAACCCTGTATATTTACAGAGTACAACGACCCATGATACCAACATAACCCTGTATATTTACAGAGTACAACGACCCATGATACCAACATAACCCTGTATATTTACAAAGTACAACGACCCATGATACCAACATAACATAAGTCTCAAGGCTATGCAGTGTACGGTGTATATATGAATATAACTTGTTGAGGTAGGTCAATGGTGGATTCATCAATCATTGGAAATACAGGGGGATATATACCACCTACCATCCCTCCTCCAATACAGGGGGATATATACCCCCTACCATCCCTCCCCCAATACAGGGGATATACCCCCCACCATCCCTCCTCCAATACGGGGATATATACCCCCTACCATCCCTCCTCCAATACAGGGGATATACCCCCCACCATCCCTCCTCCAATACGGGGATATATACCCCCTACCATCCCTCCTCCAATACAGGGGATATACCCCCCACCATCCCTCCTCCAATACGGGGATATATACCCCCTACCATCCCTCCTCCAATACAGGGGATATACCCCCCACCATCCCTCCTCCAATACNTGTTTGACAGATTTACCAAACTGTTTCATAGATTTACCAAACTGTTTAACAGATTTACTAAACTGTTTAAAAGATTTACCAAGTGTTTGGCAGATTTACCAAACTGTTTGATAGGTTAACCAAACTGTTTGATAGATTAACCAAACTAACCTAACGGCAGATGTAAGATGGGTTGAAAGGTTTGGTAATTAAATGACCAGTAAAACAGAGTAGCCAAATCATAAGTAATATAAGCTGAATAATATGTGAGATAGGATAAACTATTCGATAATATTATCTAACGATAGAGTGACCGAACTGTTTGAGAGACTGAAGTATTGGATCCTGCTAACTGTTACTGTTGTGTTGACTAGTCCACTGTCCAGACTAAACTGACGAGTGTGATAACGATTTAGATTCACACAACAGTAATATAGTAAAGATTATATTATACTAGCTGGAGTGTCCATCATTGTCTGTTAAATTTTAAAAAATCGACTTTAAAAAAATCGATTTTTGAAAACAAAAATTTGGAATTTTTAGCCTATGTTACCCTCGGGGTAATCAAGGGTTCCCTCAAAACATTTGAGCTCTTTCGTCCAGCCGCCAGCTATAGCAACAAACATATATGAGCGAAGAGCATTATTATAAAGATAGATACATACAGGGTGGCCAAAACTTTTTTGAAGAAATCCGTACTTTTTTAGAACCAATCCGTACAATCCGTACATTTTTTGGGAAAAAATCCGTATAATCCGTACATTTTTTTTTGAAAAAATCCGTACAATCCATACAATTTTTTGATAAAATCCGTACAATCCATACAATTTTTGAAAAAAAATCCGTACAAACCGTATATTTAAGAAAAATGTAAATATTTTTGAAAAAACACATCAAAATTCAACTGTTCATGTGTGAGGGTTTAAACTTCGTCAGCAGGAGAAGTACATTGCGTTTTGATCTATCTGTAAAGAAGTACCTTAATACATATTTATACAAGTAAATTAGGATGAGAATGAGAAGAGAAAGAAGTAAATTAGGATGAGAATGAGAGGAGAAACAAGTAAATTAGGATGATAATGAGAAGAGAAAGCAGTAAATTAGGATGAGAATGAGAGGAGAAACAAGTAAATTAGGATGAAAATGAGAGGAGATACAAGTAAATTAGGACGAGAATGAGAAGAGAAACAAGTAAATTAGGATGAGAATGAGAGGAGAAACAAGTAAATTAGGATGAGAATGAGAAACAAGTAAATTAGGATGAGAATGAGAGGAGAAACAAGTAAATTAGGATGAGAATGAGAGGAGAAACAAGTAAATTAGGATGAGAATGAGAAGAGAAACAAGTAAATTAGGATGAGAATGAGAAGAGAAAGAAGTAAATTAGGATGAGAATAAGAGGAGATACAAATAAATTAGGATGAGAATGAGAAGAGAAACAGGATAAATAAACATTAAAAATCTATAATTATGGCATTTAGTCTTTTACTTCTCTTCATTGGGCTGGGTTTCCTTGTTAAGGCTTTTTAGAAAGCTCATTATATAGCAAAATCAATGTTCTCGAAAAACTATGAATGAATTTTAATTGTCAATTGAAACAACAATCAACCAATTCGTACATTTTGGCCACCCTGTACATACGCTATGTTTAAAACAAGGCTATATTTGATTCAAAATGAGATTAAAACATCGAATTATCTTATTTACTATTCTCTTTTAAAATTCTGTAAACCTTTATAAGCAGGGACCGGACTGTATCATGATAAAATTAAGAATAGTTAAATGAAATCCCCCCTCTCCTCCTCCAATATAAGTTACGAATAAGAGCAAAAAGCTCTACTTAATTATAGTGTGTTGAAAAGGAGACAGAATATTGCGTAATTCAGACATTCTTTTAGATTACTTTAGAAAAATCTAAATTTCAGAAATTATATGTTTTCGTATTCAAGATGAAAAATTTTATGTTAAATATTTCAAAGCATGAATTCTGCTAGACCATGAAGTCAATGTGTGAAATCTCAAAAAAGAACACAGAAGGGGGAGGGGGGGTCTTACTATCATTTTTTAGTTTCCTCTCAGTGATTTGCATTCATTTAAAGATTACTCTTTAAAATGCATCTAAAAAACCTGTTTAAAAATTGTGCAACGTTGAACCAAGAGCTAAACATGTTCTGGCGATTTAAATTTGTTTTGAGCTTTTTTTTCAATGGCAATAAATTTGACTTAGATGATTACAGCGGGGCCAACGAAAATGTGGAAGAGGAAGACGACATTTAGGATCTTTTGTGTGTATTTGTTGATTCACAACGATACCTTTATCTGATCTAGTTTGAGTTAAATATGAATGTTTATGATTCTGAAAACTATTTATTTTCATTTGTGGTTTCTCTTTTAAACTTTAAAGTGATTTGCGCACGTCCAAGAATGTAATGCAAGGAAAATTAATTGCAGCTGCGTATACTTTGCGCACATATTGAAACCAGTTCTCTCTGGGCGAAATTTGTAAACAAGAATAGATGCATCAGTGTTCATTTAGTATCTGAGGAGGTTAAAAGCATTGAATTTTGATAATTCACATAATAGTTTCCAATGACCAGAATATTTCATTGGTTATTATTTGAAAGATGGATTCCATGTCAGGCTTAGACATCCGTCTTGTGTTTACATTACCGCCCAGTGACAGTACACTGCAGTACAACAGATTCGTACACCTCTGAAATAACTTTCCTTGCATTAGATCCTTGCGCACGTCTATGCAGGAATCTTAGAATTGTCTGAGTAAAACATTTCTAAATTAGAAAACGATCAGTGGGTTGTTATCAGAACATGTTTAGTTCTTGGTTCAACGTTGCACAATTTTGAATGTTTGAAACAGGTTTTTTAGATGCAATTAAAAGAGTAGTGAAACATGAGTCCGTGTGCAATGCACAAATGCTGTGTTTCATGTCCAGACTATTTAGAATTATAAATTAAGTTCAGGAGCAGTCTTTCTATTCTACGTTTTGTGGGTTCCACTGTACAGCCTATCAAAGTGGGTTGTAGAATAACAAATCTGAAATTAAATGTGACTCACCTAAGAAGGCCCAACCCAACCCTAATACTAAACTTAAATGATGTACTACTATTAATCGTAATTAGTTAAAGATTCTCATTTTTATTTCAAAATACAGAACCACAGGTTACAGGTATAGGATGTTTCCAGCAAATTGGATTTTACTTGCGCGCAATTCCGTCCGACTTTCTTGCGTTTATGTTTCAATTTTCGCGTACGAAGAATATTCAATTTAAACCTAACGGAACGCAATAAATGCAATTAATTATTTCGCAATTCAGTTCAACACAATTGAGTTTTTAAAAAAATCAATTTAAACTTCACAAACCTTTCAGTCACGAATGCTAAGAAAATTGAATTTAAACTTAATTTTTTATTTTATAATATTACAGCACGATGACCAGAAAACTCTAGCACAGGAAGACGACTTTTAGACTGGGTCTGCTTTAACTGAATAAGTGATTTAGTTACCAATTAAATTTTTTTTTGCTTTGTAACGACATCTAATTCACTGTAATGTTGCCTTTCAATACCATAGTTTTCTGGTTCTCCCTGTATCAAAATATCTAGTTTTGATTAAATGATTTTTACAATTTTAATCAAAAAATGTAATATATTAAATTGTTAATTAGATTAGTAGCTTAGCCACAAGAAACTTAAATTTTTTTAGATATTGAAAAATTTCAAGTAACCCTCGATTAAGAGCCACAGAGAAAAAATCCAGTTTGGATTAATTATCATAAACTCTGTATAGTCTGTACATAGATTACAAAGACTAGAATTTAAAACACATTTTTCCTCCTTTGGGATTCAAATCTTTTAAGACATCTTTCATAATCGTCTTTTGTTTGATTTATTGAGAGTAAAATCGCTTAATTTATACTATACAGGGTGTCCCAATAGACAAATAAACATAGATCGTCTTATGCATGATTTTTTATTTCGTATAGATGATACCTAATGAGTAAGCTGAAATCCGTAAGATTTTCGTCTGTAGTTAACGAAGACTATCTCGAATTCACATTTAATTCCCATACTTATTTGAACACCCCGTAACTGTTGGTAAATTATCGCTAAACTTACGTTAAAAGAATATGTTCGTCCTTAATTTCTTAGGTTTAGGGAATAGAAGGGGTGCGGGGGAAAGGCTATTTTTGATCTATTGTCGCTAAATTTTTGATTTGAAACTGAACCATCTCCTAAAAAAAGGTAAATGGACAGTTTACGAGATATATAATTTGCCACAATTACAGTATCCTGAGCTACAATTCTCAGTAAAAGGAAGAACAAAGACGACATAAATTTCGGTTTTCTGGTTCTCACTATATCATATTTAAAAATCTACTTTAAACTATCAATCCTGAATTTAAAAATAACATTGTAAATGATATAATAACATTTATTTTGTAATAATACTATTTAAACATTTCAGGAATACGGGGTAGAAAGATTGAGATCTTCTGAGAAGATTTTAAGATAAACAGGGGCTGTCATAATTTCATAATTGGATCATATTAAATCATACTGAATATTGATCATTTAAAAAAAATAAAAATTTTCATGTAGGAAATACAAAGTTCGACTCTATAAGCTTGAAGATATTAATGGACAGATATATGATATGGAGATTATAATGAAGTTTGTACTTATATTTGTACCGCTTTAATGTACTCCATGTGCTGGTGTACTATATACCCATCACAGATTTCAGGCTCCACAATCAATTCATCTACAAAGAAGAAATTTTATTTTTAAACTTAAAATGACTGTAGATGGAATTTCAAGTAACCCTCCAATTCTAGAGTGGCATGTCCGATTCACAATTGTACCTTTCAAATCTTTGTCTGATCAAGAATGAATGAGATATTTTTACTTTTCTTAGTTTCCAGCTGAAAATTTAGTTTTAAAAAAAATAATCGGAATTCATTACGTAAGATATAAAAACGAAAATATCTTCCTCATTTTAACTCAAATGAAGATTACAAGGGTACAAAATTGTGAATCCAACATGCGACTCTCTAACTGGAGGGTTACTTGAAACTACTCCTTTAGTCCCTTTTAAGTTCAAATTGTCTTGCTTTCTTTCGTGATACAATATTAATATAAGCGTGGGAAGGCAGGCGGCCGTAAGCCACGACATTTTCCCCTTCCATGCAACATATTAGCTTTTTTGTCTTCCAGCAGTTATGAGCCACAACCGCACGGTCTTTCATGCCAGAGTATTTGAGTCTTCCGGTAATTATTACGTTATAAAATGCTATATTTAGTGCATTCAAATTGTGATTTTTAAAAATCCAGCGACGTCATGCAAAAGATATATGTGAGGAACTTTCTATTAAAGTTTTAAATTGAAAAAATGACAATTCCATTTAATTTTATGTAATCTGCTAAACTTTTTTCCCAAAAATAAATTAAATCTTTCCTCTAAAATGGCTTATTCTTGAAAAATATTATGAACAATAAAAATGATGCATCATAACATACTATTAAAGTTCAAAGGGCATCCGTAACCCCGAAAATTTGCACTATTTAACGAGAAAATTGCAAAATATATTTTTTTTTGTGGAAATTTGTATCGTTCAGGTAATGACAGTTAAAGTTGTGATTTTTCTCATCTTTCCTTATTCTTTAGACTACCCCGAACAATTTGTATCGGTGCCACAATGCGTAAAATGATGTAAACTTTTCTTTCTAAAATGTAAAGCAGTTTATAAACTGAACACACAATTCGTTGATCTTTAATAAACTTCCAAAATTTTCTTAAAGGTATGATTTTTCAGGGAATGCGGCAGGATTTAAAAAAATGCTATTTCAATGCCCTAAATTTATCCTTCAAAAACATAATAACTACTGGAAGACTTCAATGCTGTGGCATAGAAAACCGTACGAATATGGCTCATAGCTGCCGGTAGACAAAAAAAGAAGATAGGCATGGAAGGGGAAAAAGGGAGTGGAATAGGTTGCACAATACTTTACAATATTTAAAGAGTGTGTCGACGTTACGTTTATGTGAAGAGTTCTATTTCAGATTCACAACAGCCATCAAATCCTCTATCTGTGTAGAAAAGAGCAAGTCATTGTTTTTACTCAGTCACAAATAGATTCTAGTAGATTTGTACACTCTCAGTACAGTTGTATTCTTACGTCACAAGTGTCAACCCAGTTTTTGCGTTCGACAAAATTATTAATAATATTGATAATTTTAGAATAAAGGGCTTATTTTACAGTAAAATAAGTGCAATTTTATGTGTTATTCATTTTCTGTTTTTACACTTTTTTATTTAATCTTAAACATGTCAACTATTGTGAGAAAATCTAGTTTTCCTTGTTATATTTGACACTTGTGACGTCATGAATAATTGATCCATTTCTCTGTTTCACCTATTGTACTTGATAATCTATTTGCTCAGTCCAACAAGGATTTAAATATATTCGTTGTAAATTTGACACAGGCATCCTACTCTATAAATGGATCTCGATTGAAATAACGTCTACAGTCTCTTTAAAGGATTAAACCATATTTACCCTGTGGACGTGTACACCTCGGAGAAATAATCCACTTGAGGTTTATGTTGAGAAGATTTAATTCCTTCCAGTAGGATTCTCCTACAACCAACCCTTGTAAGCCTCTACACCCCCTGCATTGGAGAAGCAATGATTTTGGACTTCTTTTACGAGGTTTGTGCATTTTATGACCTTAAAAAAATATTGCTTTTGTGAAAACCAGAAAACTATGGAGTAAATTATTGAATCACTTATTAAGTGAAATGGGTCTGATTACACTGCAAATTTGCTGTGTCTCATGTTGAGTAATCGTCTTCATATTCCAGAGTTTTTTGATTTTCACTGACAACAAAAATCTATTCAGCAATTTTATGCTGAATTTAAAATTTAAAATGCATTTTTTTGTAAATTGTTTTGGTTAATATAAAAAAGTCATCAAACTTCTAATTTGCAATATTTTAAAAAGCTTATTATTTATTTGTTACGTGACGTTTTCGTCACGTTCTGTTTTCCCTCGCCACTGAATACCCTGGAGTAAAGCTGTGAAGCCCCTACGGACGGAGAGGAGTTTAGTTGGTTCCTCAGCAACGAAACCGGTTATAAATTGTACCCCTAGTCTTAGAAACCATACTGTCCGTCCGTACTCTTTTCTAATCAATTAAACTTTGATATTTGATAAGATACCTGTGTTGTAACTTTGTATGTAAATCAAAAGTTTGTATGTTAACAAAAACATTTATCAATTTTTTTTTATCGTATTGGATTTTTCGTGTTGGGTATGTATTTTTAACCAGAGTACAAGTTTATAACAGTGAAAGTATTAAATGTTACTATTTAAAATAATTTCTTTTTTGCAAAGCTGTCAAGAACAAATTATTCATCCATAATTCATTTTTAATTAAAATATAAAAAAAGAGGCAAAACTAATTTTTTTACAGAGCCTCTACAGATACAATTATCAAGATTGAAACGCTTTTGAAGTGTCGCAACACCATGGTCTTTAACAGTACAAACACTCATTAATACATTTGTATAGTTGAAAATGAAAATAAAGTTTGTATTTATAAATATAATAAAAAAATTTACCCTGAGGATATGGTCGGTCTATATAAATAATGGTTTGGTTTGCAGTATCTGTATTGACAAGTGTAGTGGGGTCTAATATCTCTAGTATCTCCAGGCTGGTCATACTAACTGATGGTTTGGTTTGCAGTATCTGTATGGATAAGGGTAGTGGGGTCTAATATCTCTAGTATCTCCAGGCTGGTCATACTATCTGATGGTTTGGTTTGCAGTATCTGTATGGATAAGGGTAGTGGGGTCTACTATCTTTAGTATCTCCAGGCTGGAAATACTAACTGATGGTTTGGTTTGCAGTATCTGCATGGATAAGGGTAGTGGGGTCTACTATCTCTAGTATCTCCAGGCTGGTCATATTACCTGATGGTTTGGTTTACAGTATCTGCCTGGATAAGGGTAGTGGGGTCTACTATCTCTAATATCTCCAGGCTGGTCATACTAACCAGGGAACTAGAGAGCTCACGAGTACATTGTCCACTACATCCAGGTGTGAGGTAAATGTAGGTCAACTACAGTGAGACCCAGAAATCTGAGGATTAGGAAAACGACATTTCAGTAATCTTGTATATTTGCATATATATCTATATATATAAGTAGTAATCTCTGTTTGTTTGTGTATCCGAACATAACTCATGAACCACTGGACTAATTTACCTCAGGTTTTGATTGGGAAACATGGTAGAACCACGGGAATGTTCTTTCTGGTCTAAAAATTCTAAGTTGATTGGGTTTACTTTAATAGGAAAACTTCATTTGTTTCTCCAATCATAACACAGGAATCCCTTGGCCCATTTACCTCAAATTTTAATTTGGGAATTCGAAAGAACCATGGTTCATGCTCTTAACTTAGTTTTAAAAATCTTAATAGAGTTGGTTGATTTTGCAAGCACAGCTGGTTTTTTAAAGTAAATTGTTATAAAAATACATTTTATCAGTAGCTTATAAACCAAATCATTAAAGGGGGTGTTAACAATTTACATTTTCCGAAATATAAACAATTCCTTTAAATCAAAATCAGTCTTTGTACACTGGACTGTTGCTGTGTTTTGTGTTCATTGGACTAATAAAAATAAACTGTCGTCTTCCTATTTTACAGTTTAAAGGGTCTCACTTTAGGTTTCCAGAACTGTATATTTATTAAATTTTAAATGTTGCTTCACCTACGACCATTTTCACTCCCCTATTCACTAAACCTCATGGTTGTTGTGGTTTTCCCTCATCAATTAAAAAACTTCTCACTAATTTTTGACAATTAAAAAATTTGTTTTTAGAAAGTTTATTTTATTGGGATGATGTTGAATACAAATCAGGTGATGGGAAATGGGGGGTAGGGTCAAAAAAGGGGGAAAAGTCTGATCTAAATAAATCTAATTTCTAAATTCTAATTTTTTCTCTGAAAAAGTCTTAAATTCTATTCACCTTTGAATATCTATATATAAATTTGGCTTGTCTGTCTGTCTGTCTGTCTGTCTGTCTGTTTGTTTGTATCCAATAAACGTCAAAACGGCTGAACCGATCGGGCCCAAATTTTTTGTGGGACATCTAGGGACCCCAGGGAAGGTTTATGAAAAATCAAAATTTCAAATATTTGTCTCCATCAAAATTCGATCGTCATTAAATTTTTAAAAATTTTGAAAATCCGCGAAATTTTTTGTGAAAATCCGCGAATTATTTTTTGTTTTGTTTTACGATGTACACAAAGAGAACATGTTCACAACTAATTTAGAAGATGGGCGCGAAGCGCCCTCTAAGGCTAGAAAGAAGGGTGCGAAGCGCCTTGAATTTCTAGTATTTTAAAAATGTTCAAAGTTATTTAGGAAAATTTCTTTTTCTCACATCCCTGGATCCTGAGATATCTAGATGCTTCAGCTGGTTGAGATTACCCAGACTGAGGACATCTGTAGGAGTTAATGTACAGCGTGATATATTGAGGTATTCGAGTTTAACTAGTTCAGGACACAGCAGCTCACACAATCCTGGAGATAGGAAATACTTTTCAGTCTAGATTACAATAGAATGATTGTAGTCTCAAGCTCTTTCTTTAAATTAGAAATGCTAATGAAAATTTTCTTATTAGGCTTTATAACTGCTGATTTTGCGATTAAACTAATTCGGGGAAATATGACAAAAAGCTTAAGCTGTCATTGAGACTAATTTATGAATCATGGTTTGGGTTTAATAATGTATTAAACAAATGAAAAACTATCTTGGAAATGCGCCATCTTTAAACAGAAAACGTTTAAAATTACGAATTTTCCAAATGGTGGATTTCAGGATTTGATTAAAATAAGACCCAACATTGAGACTAATTCTCCACTAAAACCATTCAAGTTTGGTTTCATTTTCATGGGGTCCATTGGATCGATTACGTAAAACAAGCGGTCGTCAGCTAATTTACTATTCAAAATTTAAGTTGCAGTGCTCAGTTTCTATGTGATATTAAACAAATGTGTCAAAATTTGTCAATGTTCTTTTTGGATTTAAAACCCAATATTCCTTCCTTGGTCTAATGAATTTGTAAGATCTAGACGTCTCAGTTTCGTCAGGCTCTTCAATAATCGGGAAAGATTTGTCCTAAGCCGAGGATAAAATCTAAAGCCGCCTTGCTTGAAACCTATCAATGCTAAACGCCTTATAAGAGGACAGTTCCCTAAATATCATCAACAAGTTGTTTTTGAACTTTTAAACTTTTGTTTAGACATTTGTTATGATTTTAAGCGATCTTACATTGAAAGAAATAAATCCCTAATTCACTACAGTACCCTTGTAAATCTTTATTTGATCAAAAATCCAGAAGATATTCTCGCTTTTCCAGCTTGAAAGGTTTTAAATTCTCGTAATTACTCCATTGTTTCTTTAATAGCTAACTTTTTACTGTTGTTGATAGCACATGAGTGACACTTTAAATAAATAAACCAGAGGTCGAATTTAAAGAATTTAAACCGCGGCTTAAATTCGAGACGCGGCTCAAATATGGATGGTTCCACTCAAAATTATATTTAATGTTTCAAGATTTAACCCGGCGCTCAATTGAAACCGTTTTTTTGGCGGATTTGAGACGCGGCTCAAATTCATTATATTCGATCAAAAAGTTTAGATCTAATTTTAACATGTTAAAAAATTGAATTACCAATAATTAAATATCTTAATAAATTTTGTTTAAAAAACCTTTTTATACAATAATCCGAAGTGGCTTTAATAAGTTGATAATTGAGTTTGCAGATTGTCATAGTAAATAATGAAAGATTTTTTTTCAGAAGTTGAAAACTTGTTGATATTCCTAAGACTGCTATTAGGTTGACAGTGCTAACCGTTGCAACATTGACTTCTATCTGAAGTGAGCTGACCCGACTCAAGTCTATGACTTGTCTATTGAGTTGACCTTTACACATACTTTTTAACATTCAAGATTTTTTTCAGCTAAAGAGACTGTTTACTTTATCTGAAATGAACCCCCAATTTAAGAGCTGCATGCCCGATTCACAACAGTATTCTTTAAATCTTTAGCTAAATAAAACTCAAAACAATTAGACGTTTCTCTTGTTTAGATGTTTGAAGAGTACCATTGTGAATCAGACATGCCCTTGAAAAATAAAGCTCTACTTGAAATTACGCCTAACCATTTCCTTTAAGAGGCTCTGCAAAGTGCAAAACAATATATATTAAAAGCTTACGTCAGATAAGTTGGCTTTTACCAAGCTTAAGTCTTACGGCCGTCGTCATATTCTAAAGTATTATGTGTTACACTGTATTCAAAACTTGTAGTTTGAAATAAGATGTTGTTCAAACTATTCAAAGTTTTCGTTTTGGCCTCATATTGGTCAGAATGAAAAATGCATCCAATTTTGAAATACTATAAACATTTTAGATGTTTTAATAAAAAAAATTTGAATGTTTAAAAGGCACCTAAACAACTATTTCCACCTCCGAGATTTAGTGGATGTTCCTCCTTTCCATCAAACAGAAAAACAATGGTATTTTTCCAGGTCGACTCTTTGGTATCAAAATGAGTTTGATCCTCAATGACATTTATTTCCTTACATCTCAGGTTTTTAATTGTCTTGGCATAGGAAGAGTCTGGTGAAAGAGAGGCTGAGGATACAGAGGGGAACCCGGTTAAATCAAGTTCTACAAGACTGTTAGGAACAAAATCCTGAAAAAGGTGTAAGTCAATGTAGACAAAGCTTACAAATGACTCTTCAATTAATACAGAGTAGAATTTCTGATTCACAATGGTACCCATTTAACCTTGATCTCAGCAAGGATGATTTAGATATTCTTATTTTAACAGCTTTAAATTGAGTGCCTGGAAACGCAAGTTTTTACAGTTCTTTTTTAGGTTTGTTCACTTTTTTGAACATATAGGGTTACCTATAGAGGGTAATACTTTGGAGACGACTGTTCGGAAGTTCTAAGTTATGTTTCCTTTAATTTATGATTTCATGAAACTGTAAACTTGTTTCTTTCTTTGCCAAATCACAAATAATTTCTGAGATTTCAACTCAAAGATTTAGCAGCAGGTCAGAATGATTAAATATGTTCTTCCAAAAAAAACCTGTATTTTCGCGCCAAACAGGGATATTTTACATTTCTGGGATTTTACAAAACATATTTTCCATTATTTGGATGTAAGAAATTTAATTGTTTTGTGTTTTCTAAATCTATTAGTAAATCTATAATTTTAAACCTTAAATTATCAATTTGAAAAAATATTTATAGGGTCTTTAAGAAAACCGTAGATTTTCCCAGGATTTAGCACGAAATCCACCTTTGCTTAGGATTTTTCCCAATTTTAGTCTGAAGTTCTGAAGGTATCTTCCAGTGTGGCTTGGAGGATGACAGGTTGGAGGGGGAGTTTTAGAAAAATGTCTTGACGGTGGCAACCTTTGCTCGGTCTTGGATTGGGAACTTCTCCCAAGGCAGGTTGAGTAACGTCGCTGAGGCTCAGTCCGGATTCGGTGTGCATGGAGCTATGGGCGGTCATCCTCACCCTGGTGGAAGTACTGGTGTTGGATACCATGAAGTTGTAGGCTACAAAGTGGAGTTAATGTTCCTTCTTGTAGTCTACCGGGTCCATCTCCAAGTAGTTCCCATTTGTCAATCTGTTGCTGGATATACTTGTTTATCTTTGCTGCAATCGCAGGCTGGCTGGAGATCATGACGTGTAATGTATGAGTTCTCTTGGTGGTGCTGTAATAATTCTCTCCGAGGTCAGGTAGGTTGGGTTTGTAGAGGTATTTGACATAGACTCAGTTGTTGAAGATGTCCATGGTGGTATTGTTCATGATGTCCTGATTCCCTTCTTCTTGGTGAGCTTCTGAAGTTGATTTCGTGTGGTGGGATTGGTAAAGTCTTCAGCGAAACTTGTGAGCAGGATTTGTTCTTGGATGTTCAGGATGACCAATGATTTGATGAAGATGGTGTTGATGGGAGGATTTGGGGCTCATTCGGCCAGCATGTGTGAGCGCCGAGCAGGCTGGAGTATAGTTGACGGGCCCAGCCTCTAACTCTGATTGGTTTAATTTTGAATTTATTCATCATTTCCTGGAATTGTTTCTTGAAATTTAACGAAATAACGAAATAGCTTGAAATAACAAAATAGCATGAAATAAGGAATGTGCTTTTTTTGCATGCTTTTCGTGCAAATAATTTCGACTGGAAACCCTACTCCATGGATGGGGTCCTAATGGAGAGATGCGATGGTGTCCATTTGAGGGTCTTGGTTCTTCAGAACAGGGTAGTTTGAAATGTAGAAGAACAAAGGGGCCTCAAGGTTGATCTAAGGTTGATGATCCCAGTAAAGGGTTGATTGGTTGATCTAAGGTTGATAATCCCAATGAAGGGTCAATAGGGCTCGAAAGCTGGTTGATATCCTCTCTTGCCACTGCTCTTCACTAGTCTCAAATAGGTAAAAATCTGTATTTCAAACCTGTAATAAATTACAGGTATTAATTATGGGTAATAATATTTAAATGTAGTTAAATGTTGGTTTAAATCGTTATAATATTTGATAAACTAAACTTTCTAGTGTGAGGTGGGTTGGGAGAAATGAGGGGTCAATAGGATCAGGAGAATAAAACGATTTGTGACTTCTTAAAAATAAATACCCAGTTGGTTACAAAAATTATTGTTTACAACGATAATCATGAGTTTTTAAGCATTTCTATATTTAATCGTGTTTTCACTTTTCATGGATTTTAGCGTCTATTGACGAAGGAGGTTGGGTTTGGTTTCGGCTCTGGGAGGGGGGGGGAGTTTGCTTTGAAGACGACATCTATTGGGGAAAGGTTTCAAGATGATTTATTTATTTTTCATTGGTCAAAAACGACTACGGGCAAAAGGGGCCAATGAGAGATTAGGGTTTTTCCCAGCTACTGGCTAGGGTTTAATGACTGTACCTTGGGGGTAACATAGACTAAAAAAATTCGAGATATTTTTTCAATTGTTTCTAAAATTTCACGGGCAACGCGGGTACTTCAGCTAGCTTGTTATATTTCTTTGAAGAACTGGGCATAAAGTTAGAATATTATGCATTTGCAAAGATTTTGCAAACAAACATTAGGATCTTTGATGCAAACTTTTTACTTGACACATACATACAAAATGCATCAGTACTATTTAGATGCGCAATATATTTATTATATTTTTTATGAAAACAGTTCTTGCCTTGGGAGAACTAGAGAAGGAAAAGCGAAATTTTCAAATAAAAAAATTACAACTTTTACAAATGTAAAAAAACGTTTTTACATTACTCAAAATATCCCCATTTACTGAATATCCATGTTGCACCTCTGTTTGTTGCAATTAATTACTGTTAAAAATTTTCTTCTTTATTTATTTTTACATTTGAGGTCATGAATGATAACATTATTTGCAATGTATCAATGAAAATGTATTGGACTTAGCATCCTGCATCACCTAGCCGAAAATTAAAAATTTACATTTGTTAAAATCTTGTAAAAAGAATTTTAAAGATGTTTTTTAAATAAGTATGCATTTAAAATTAACAATTTTTAACTAGACAAATTTATATGATGCATCCTTGAGCAGACACTGGTTGAAAGGGTACCATTGTAAATCACTCTACAATCATAAATGAAGGGACACCTTAAATTACGTTCCTTGAAAGAAGGACATTTTTGATTTTATCTATTTTGAAATGAGAACAGCCTAACAGGGGAGAGATTATAAAACCCATTCGTTTCTGATTTCAATAATGACCTATTTTCAAATCTTCTGATTTGATCACGTCAACGCATATTGCTTAAAAATGCATTAAATGCGTAGTCCATGAAAACTAGCAGACTAAATGATAAATTATTAAACTACTGACATAGTTTAACTTTACTTCATTTTGTGTCAGCACGTTTTTGCTGACACAGCTTCTCAATTTTAAAAAAATTGTGTAAAAATTTATCCAACTTTGATTGAGACTCTGACTGTGACTCTGACTATGACTCTGCCTCTGTCTGACTGTGACTCTGACCGTGAGTCGTGACTATGATTGTAACTCTGACTGAGACTTATGACTCTGACTGTGACTGACTGTGACTCTGACTGTGACTCTGACTGTGACTCTGACTCTGACTCTGACTCTGACTATGACTCTGACTGTGACTCTGACTATGACTCTGACTGTGACTGACTGTGACTCTACTGTGACTCTACTGTGACTCTGACTGTGACTCTGACTGTGACTCTGACTGTGACTCTCACTGTGACTCTCACTGTGACTCTCACTGTAACTCAGACTGTGATTTGTGATTCTGACTGTGACTCTGACTGTGACTCTGACTGTGACTGACTGTGACTCTGACTGTGACTGACTGTGACTCTGACTCTGACTGTGACTCTGACTGTGACTCTGACTGTGACTCTGACTGTGACTCTGACTGTGACACTGACTGTGACTGTGACTCTGACTCTGACTGTGACTCTGACTCTGACTGTGACTCTGACTGTGACTGTGACTCTGACTATGAATCTGACTGACTATGTATACCTGAAGTGCAGAAAGTAGAAAGGTTACAGTCCTGTGCGCTCTCTTCACACATTGTCTCTTCTCGGTGTAACTGTGAAAAAGTTCCTGTTTAAATTTTTCATATTTATAAAATAAAAATATTCATTCATATTAGATTATATACTGAAGTGCACTTATATAACTAGTAACATTTTCCACATAAAACTCAACTTTTCAACGAGAAACTATACAGTAGTATTTTTTAATATAAACATTGGCTTTCAAATTATCTAGTAAGGCTTGATGTTGATACTGGGTGTCCCAATAAACATGGGAATAAAATTACGAATTCTTTATGGTCTTTGTTCCATGTGGGATTATTTCGTAAATATAATTATATAATATCACAGTTAAAACATTTAACAGCGAAAACTACTAGTCTCGGGATTTCCAAAATGTGGTCTACAATTTTTTCACCTTCAAGATGGAGATATTAGGAAATTTGTCCAGATTTCAGTTAATTAAAAATCAACAAAACTGTTTAAAGGTTTAATATCTCTGTCAATTTTAAAGATACAAAAAAGGTAGACCACATTTTGTGAAAGTTCATTGAACATTTATACTTTTTGATGCACTTTATGTCATTTATCAATTATCGGAAATCAGAGAGATATTCAAGCCGTCTCTTAATTCCCATGTTTATTGGGACACCGTTACACACCTTGTGTTTAAAAAATAGAATTCATTAAATTTTTACCCATATTGGAACCACACAGAGAGCCAAGCAACTATAAACAGTGTGCATTGCATTGTGGAAAAGTTTTATATGTCTCGAATGAATCCTAAAGAATTTGTCCACAACACAGCATACTCAGTTTAACTACCTTACATAGCCGGTCACTCCCTTTAATCCCCAAGTTACTTTTGTAGAGAAACCATAATTAAAAATAATAAATGTTCAAAGAGGAAAATCATGTATAAATAGAAACTGATGGGTTAATCAAAGATAAAAATATGAACTATTCCTGGTTATTATAAAGTCCCGGAAGAAGTTGAGAAAGGACAAGGTTAGAACCTGACCAGCCTCTTAGTAGCTGATGAACAGCTCTATCACGACCCTAAATAAGTTTAGGTAACAATTATAAACTTCGAAAAATGTTAGGGTTGTTTATTTTTAAGAATTTAAAAGATCTAGGGGCAGTTATTTAAAAAAAAATAAAAATTGAACATCAACATTGCAAGTTTTGCGTTCTTTATTGATTTACCTATTTTCCCCTAAAAATCGTTGTTTTTCCCAATTTAGAAAGTAAAACCTGAACAAAACAATATCATCTGGGGGAAAAAAATGATTTTCAAGGAGAAAATAAAAAAAGAGTTTATATAATTTTTTTCCACAAATCTTTAACATCTGGAAAAAAAACTGATTTTAAAGGAGAAAATAAATAAGAGTCTATTTAATTTCTTTCAACAAAACTTTCATTTCCACGCTTTCTTGAACTGGATTTCAACTTGATTATTACCTAATATTAAAACTTTAATCTTTTTTTGTTCATGATGACGCCTTCCTAAGCCACTTCAAATACCTTGCTAGCTCTTTCTTTATACATTTCTAGTTCTCTTCTAATACTTTCCTAGCCCTCTTATAATACTTGCCTGGCCCTCTTCTAATACTTTCCTAGCCCTCTTCACTTTCCTAGTTCTCTTCTAATACTTTCCTAGCCCTCTTCTAATACTTTCCTAGTTCTCTTCTAATACTTTCCTAGTCCTCTTCTAATACTTTCCTAGTTCTCTTCACTTTCCTAGTTCTCTTCACTTTCCTAGTTCTCTTCTAATACTTTCCTAGTTCTCTTCACTTTCCTAGTTCTCTTCTAATACTTTCCTAGCCCTCTTCTAATACTTTCCTACTCCTCTTCTAATACCTTCCTAGTTCTCTTCTAATACTTTCCTAGCCCTCTTCTAATACTTTCCTAGTCCTCTTCTAATACTTTCCTAGTTCTCTTCTAATACTTTCCTAGTTCTCTTCTAATACTTGCCTGGCCCTCTTCTAATATTTTCCTAGTTCTCTTCACTTTCCTAGTTCTCTTCACTTTCCTAGTTCTCTTCACTTTCCTAGTTCTCTTCTAATACTTTCCTAGTTCTCTTCTATTACTTTCCTAGCCCTCTTCTAATACTTTCCTAGTCCTCTTCTAATACTTTCCTAGTCCTCTTCTAATACTTTCCTAGCCCTTTTATAAGCTTCTAATACATTCCTCCTTTTATTCTAATGCTTTTCTGGTTCTCCTTTAACACCTCACTACTACCAGCTCTCTTATATATTCCTAGAATATCATTTAAACTTATGTATGTAGTTTTAATGTGATAAAAGTTCATCATTTCACTCTTTTTTTCGAATTTACATGATTGTTTTATCATATTAAATACAATTCTTCATCTCACAAAGTAGAAAGCTTATTTTTTCCAAAAAGGGCAACTTTTTCACGTATATTGAAACCCGCTCCTGGAAAGTGAGTTATACATAGAGCTAGAAAATATTCTGAAGAAGCTGAAGAACTTGTTTTAAACATTTGAATTATGAAAATTTGAGATAACAAGAGCATCCAAATAAACAAAGAATCTTTTGTTTGAATTTTAATTTAAGAAATACAGGGGAATTTAGTTCTAAACTGGGATCATTAACCATTTCTAACACTAAGCGTCAGGTTTGTGCACAAATTGCAAGACTGGGGGTTTAGAAATTTCTTACATTGATTCAAATTTGAGTAAATGTCTCAAAGAGCACACGCATATGAAAATGAACAGTTTAAAGAAACAAAAAACATCTTTAAATTTATACATGATCAAACCAAGTTTTTAAGGGTACCGTTGTAAATCGGACATTGACATCTTTATATAGAGGGTCATTTGAAATTACGCTTACAGTCCCTTTAACAATAGTTTGAAGTTTTATGTTTTGTTCTAAAATAAAGCATTTTTCATTTACACGAAACATTCTGTCCTTTTTTGTTGTCGGCCTGTTAGGAATGGGCCAAATCGCGGTTTGAGACTAACGTCCCCTGAACTAGAGGTCTTCAGTTAGAACTTCTCCTCAAAGCAGAGGGGAGAATCATAGAAATGTATTTACATAGAGTAAACAATACGCATTTGTGATAAATGATATTACGCAACAATTTCAATTCTTGATTTTAAATTTATCTGCACTTATGTATATTGTATACATTACTTATATTATACTCATAGTTGCATGTGTGTTGGTTTGTTTGTTTATTTGTTTGTTCTCACATGAATGTAAAATGCCTATTTGTGTTAAGAACCTCTATAGTTGGCCAATAATTCAATATTTTCCAGGTTTCATTTTTGTTTTTTCCTTTACTATTAGTGCAATATACATTGAAATTAATTGACACTTTTAAAACATTTCTTAAACCTAAATTAGCGAAGGAAAATATTTAAACTTTATATTAAGCTATATCTGTTAGCCTGATCTAATGTTTATATTGAGCCCACCTGCTCTAATATTTATATTGAGCCTACCCGCTCTAATATTTATAACTGAACTGTACTGTACTGTACTGTACTGTACTGTACTGTACTGTACATTGAGCCTACCTGCTCTAATATTTAAATTGAGTCTACCTGCTCTAGTATTTATATTGAGCCTACCTGCTCTAATATTTATATTAAGCCTACCTGATCTAATATTTATATTGAGCCTACCTGATCTAATATTTAAATTGAGTCTACCTGATCTAATATTTATATTGAGGCTACCTGCTCTAATATTTATATTGAGGCTACCTGATCTAATATTTATATTGAGACTACCTGCTCTAATATTTAAATTGAGTCTACCTGCTCTAGCATTATATTGAGCCTACCTGCTCTAATATTTATATTGAACCTACCTGCTCTAATATTTATATTGAGCCTACCTGCTCTAATATTTATATTGAGCCTACCTCCTCTAATATTTATATTGAGCTTACCTGCTATAATATTCATATTGAGTCTACCTGCTCTAGTATTATATTGAGCCTACCTGCTCTAATATTTATATTGAGCCTACCTGCTCTGATATTTATATTGAGCCTACCTGCTCTAATATTTATATTGAGTCTACCTGATCTAATATTTATTTTGAGCCTACCTCCTCTAATATTTATATTGAGCCTACCTGCTGTAATATTTATGTTGAGTCTACCTGATCTAATATTCATATTGAGCCTACCTGCACTAATATTTATATTGAGCCTACCTGCTCTAATATTTATATTGAGACTACCTGCTCTAATATTTATACTGATCCTACCCGCTCTAATATTATATTGAGCTTACCTGCTCTAATATTTATATTGAGCCTACCTGATCTAATATTATATTGAGCCAACTTGCTCTAAGTTATATGACCTGCTCTAATGCAGTTTGAAAGAGGGTCTCTATCAGGGTTTGAGGAAGCAGAAACCTAAAATAGAAAGCTGGTTCAAAGAGTGAACTTATCTCAAGAGAACTTCACTTTACAGGGACTGTATTTTAATAATTCTTCACAACCATTTTCTGATAAATAAATGAAAATTATTGTTGTTTATCTTCTAGGTTGAAAAATGTTAAACAACCATTTTCTCTAGTGCTATAGTACCAAGAAATCAGCAAGTCACATTTATAGAGGAAGCACAAATAAAAATGGTTGAAAGATAAATCATGGCCGGATATGAGAAAATCTAAACACTTTTTATTGATGTAACAACAAAAAATGTTACATCTGCCCCGTTAAACACCTAACAAAGCTTAGGTGGAATATTTTGCAGATAAGCAAATCAGCGCAAGAAGACGTTTTCTGACAAGTGTTGGCCGATTTCTTAAATTGCATGGGCAACGCTGGGCACTCCAGCTAGTATGTAAAAAATCATTGCAGTATATTGTACGTTGATCTGTTTATTTATATTCATTCTTTGCGTATCTGTATGTCCGTTTGTATCCAATAAACGTTAAAAAGGCTGAATTTGTCTCAAAAATATTTAGAATTTCGTATAATTTTGAAAGTCCACGAAAAAATATTATTAAATCCGCGAACTTTTTTTTGCTATTTTTGTATAGAGCTAGAGCCACAGCTAAATTTAAAATAGAAGATGAGTCTAGTTACTAAGCAGAATAAAGTTCAGAATTGGTTTAATATTAAAGTTTACACTGTACGACATATTTGAAAAATGTCAGAAAAATCAATTTACCTTTTAAACTTCAGATTAAACATGGAATTATTTGTATCGTTTCTCCTTGAGACATAAATGATAGTGGAATTACTCTTTACTATTTTATATGAACTAAGTGTTTAGGGTAATTTGAATGTAGTGTAGATATAATCTTTTTTATAAATGAGTATTTCATTGCAACCCATACAGTTGTGAAATAGAAAAACGACTTTTTGACTCTTCCATAGTTTAAAGAGAACCCCTGTGAATTGGCAATTAAGGACATAAATATTGGATACCACGCGACACAGATCAAGCCGATATAGATGCAGGATTGACGCGTACCGTGCCGCAACGTTAATGTAAAATAGCACAATGGGCTGGTTAACGCGTACCATGCCGCAACGTCAATGTAAAATAGCACAATGGGCTGGTTGACCCGTACCGTGCCGCAACGTCAATGTAAAATAGTACAATGAGCTTAAAAGAAGGAAAATATTTGTATTTCCATGCTCCCTCCCGCGGAACCGCTGGACACACTGGAAATATACACAACCCCAAATTCTACAACTCGATTGATTGATTAACTTGAAATATACAGCTACAATCTACAAGCAGCTGGCTGTTGAGCACATCTCTTTCAGGTTAGATAGCCAGGGCTGTCCGCGTCAATGATCCATCTCGTCTACCTGATCTGTGATAAATCCTTACCTAGCAGATTGACACATGCTTGAATCCAGGACGATTTTGTCAGAGCAGATCTTTACCAGACCCAATACATCTCTAGTACTAACCTTCATCTGGGGGGTTAATTGTTATAGATAGAGAAACTGAACACTTACCACAAACTCTAATTTTATAATCCATTCGCCTTTTCAACCTGATGATGTAAATCATTGATATTTGAAACTTTGACCATATGATTTAACAGAATTCATCGTTTGAAATATTACTACAGCATTAGTTTGCACATTGGCACAGATGTAAATATTAGAAAATTGAAATATAAGGAGAATTATAATCCAAACGTTTGTGTCGTCTGTCCTTACCCTAAGAATAGTTGACATTTATGCTAGCAAACAGAACCAGAAAACAGTGTACGGATTGTCCTTGTATGAAAATTTATTTCATTTCTTTATAAATTGAGCCAGATCCAGATCCTGGCTCAATAAACAAGTTATTAGGGAAATATCAAACTGTAATGTCTCTAAACTTTCATAAAATGATCATCCTAGGTTAATTGAAGATTTAAGAACTCAAAAATTAGAATTTTAAAATAAATGGAAATTTTCAAATGAAATTAAAATCAAATTAAACAAATAAAAAAGCTAATGCTTTTCCATTAAACACGTAAATACAGATTCAAGATTCAAAGATTAACAATAACAAATAGTACTTCAGTTTGTCGCCAATAGTCTGTCTTCATTAGTTACCCATGTGAAGGATCTGTAAATACAGATTCAAGATTTAAAGATTAACAATAAACAGATAATACTTTAGTTTGTCCCCAATAGTCCGTCTTCATTAGTTGTCCATTTGTAGGATCTGTAAATAAATAAACAGATTCAAGATTTAAATATTAACAATAAACAAGTAATACTTTAGTTTGTTCCCAATATTCCGTGTTCATAAGTTGTCCATGTGTATGATCTGTAAATACAGATTCAAGATTTAAAGATTAACAATAAACAGATAATACTTTAGTTTGTCCCCAATAGTCCGTCTTGATTAGTTGTTAATTTGTATGATCTGTAAATAAATAAACAGATTCAAGATTTAAATATCAACAATAAACAAGTAATACTTTAGTTTGTTCCCAATATTCCGTCTTCATAAGTTGTCCATGTGTATGATCTGTAAATACAGATTCGAGATTTAAAGATTAACAATAAACAAGTAATACTATAGTTTGTCGCCAATATTCCATCTTCATTAGCTGTCCATGAGTATGATCTGTAAATACAGATTCAAGATTTAAAGATTAACAATAAACAAATAATACTTTAGTTTGTCGCGAATAGTCTGTCTTCATTAGTTGTCCATGAGTATGATATGTAAATACAGATTAAAGATTTAAAGATTAACAATAAAGAAAGAATACTTTAGTTTGTCCCCAATAATCCGTCTTCATTAGTTGTCCATGTGTATGATATGTAAATACAGATTCAAGATTTGAAGAAACAATAAACAAATAATACTTTAGTTTGTCTACAATAGTCTGTCTTTATTAGTTGTCCATGTGTATGATATGTAAATACAGATTGAAGATTTAAAGATTAACAATAAACAAATAATACTTCAGTTTGTCGCCAATAGCCTGTCTTTATTAGTTAGAATAAAGTTTAATTCTGAAAGAAATTTAAGACTGTAAATCAAGTTTGTGATACAATTCTCTATCATTTATGCATAAAAGTAAATCTATGTATTTCCAATCATAACTCATAAACACCATTGACTAATTTGCTGTAATTGTAATAGGGGACTCGGTAGAACCACGGGAATGTTTTTAAATTGTAAGTAAAGTGGGTTCTCTTTTACGGGGAAAACACCAGGAAAGCTGGGTTCCCAATAACAGTAATATCTGTTTGTCCGATCATAACTTTAAATTTGAACAGGGGAACTCGGCAGCACCACGGGAATGTTCTTAGTTTGGTTTAACAATTTGAACAGGGGAACTCGGCAGCACCACCGGAATGTTCTTAGTTTGGTTTAACAATTTGAACAGGGGAACTCGGCAGCACCACGGGAATGTTCTTAGTTTGGTTTTCCAGACAAAGCTGGGGTTCCAAGCTAGGTTATAGGAAGCCGCAAATAAGACAGAATTCATGTAAGAAATATGGATTACAAATCTTGAATTTGACTTTGGGTGATCAGTTTCTTCCATTTATAGTACAAAAAGCCTGCCTTTGAGGAAACAGGATAGAATACTGGACGAAGTAGATCTATGCACATATATTCAGTTTCCTCCATTTTTCTGAAAAAAAACCCTTGAAAATGCTGTTTGGGGCTGATTTAATTTTTTCTTTAATTGTGTTTTCTTGGCATGCTATGGTAGAACAATCTACAATATTAATTTATTATACAATAAATAAGATAATATTGTTTCTACAATGTGTATCAATTGTCAAACAAACAACTGTACTTGGTCTTTTATGTGTCTAGATTTCACATTATCTAGATCTAGAAGATTTCTAGATAATTTCTTGAATGTTTACTGTTCAGTTTATCTAGATCCCGAAATTTTTGGAAAAGAAGAATTGATCCTCTAGAAGGTTCAGATTATCTAGATCACATAAACAGGAAGCGATTATGTAGAAGGTTTATATTGTTTAGAAGAAAATTTCTAGAGAAAAAAGAACAAAAAAACAAATTATCTAGATATAGAAGATTATATATTAATAAACTTATTGTATATATAATACTTTAAACAATAATTATTTTTCAAGAGGTTCCAATTATCTTGATCTTACAGATTTCTAGATAAACAGGAATTGATCTTCAATAAAGTTCAGATGATCTAGAAGATGGTTTCTAGATAAACAATAATTGATCTTTTAGCTAACAAGGTTTAGATTATCTAGATCTTGTAGAAGATCTCTTGATCTAGGATCTAGAAGACCGTTAATCTTGAGGTGACCGATAAACTCGTTAAGATTGGTTTCGTCCACAAAGTTGCCGGACACCGCCACTGTATCCTCTAAAATAGAAATAATGATACCAATTATAACCAACCGACTATCATTCCATTAAAACCAAGTCCCCATAGATAATAATAGGATGGATATTAATGTTATCTAACAGTTGATAAATGTCACAAGTCTAGTTGCAAGGGTTCAGGCCAATGAATAGCATTACCACATGACTGCACACCAACAGTGCTCGAGGACTAGTTAAATCTTCGTACCAATACAAAAGTATGAAACTTTCAAGATTATTAATATTTCATTTAAAATTAATTATAATTATAATCTTAAATGGAATCAAAAATAATATTTTAAAACACATGCATGATATTCTTTCTTTTCTGTCTGGAAATTGATAATTTTAAATTGCGGTTTCTCTGTAAAGGTGACTTCCTCATTGCTACTCAGATTTAATCGTAACATAAGAGGTACCGTTGTGAATCGGGTGACAATACCTCGCAAGCCCATTAATCTTTTTTTTTAATCTTCAATGAATTCCAATTTAAAAAAAAAAAACATTTTAAATGTAATAAATCAAATCAAATCATGCTTTTAGGGACGTCCTACACCCACATCCCAAAATTGAAGTGACTATACTTAATCAATAATTAAGTGAGGTCTTACGATTTGTACTTTTTGTTAATTTCCGCTTGATTGTTGAATAAATTCTGCAAAGAAGTTATGTTATCGACATTATTTTTATCACGAAATGTGCGAAATCAATAATGAAATAAATTAATCTTAGTTTTCATGAAGTAATGAATAGGGAAAATAACTAAAGTTTTTAATATCAATGAAATGATTAAATATTTCAAATATTTCGATTAAAAAACACTTTGATTGGAGAAAAGGAGATTATTATGAGGAGGGGAGTGATTTTCAAAATAATAGGTATTAAAAGGTACTGTAAGCATATTTTCAAGGAACCCTACATGCAACTGTGGTCATGTCCGATTCACAACGATACCCTTAAAAGCTTTGTCTAATCAAGCATGAATTAGATATCAATGTTTACTATTTGAAAATTGACTATTTTCAAATGTGGTTTCTTTAAAAAGGTGACTTGCCTACTTCTACTGAAGGAAAACATATAGGAACTATCAAAATTAAACACTTTTAAATCTAGAAAAACGACATTATTCTTCAACATTATTGATCACAAAAGTTTGACGGGTAAAATCGAGCATTGCAATCTTTGCATCGAGGATTATGCTTACAGTCTCTTGAAGAAGTAACATATGAATTTTCCCCAAATCAATGTTATAAATATAAAAAAGATTAATTGAACTGACTAACCTGTATTCTGGACCTGGTGAGGTGATCCTGCAGGAACAAACAGGAGTTCACCAGCTCGCAGATCTAGAAAAGGGACAGTTCACGGATTTTAAAGTGAACTGCTATCTAAGAATATCTCTACATACTCCTGTTTAAAGGGGCTCTTCCTCGAAATACCCTTCTTTGTAAAACTGGCGTACCTATATAATCACTACATTCGTAAAACGCTTTACACTATTAAAACGATACATCGAAAAACGCTACAGTCATAAAACGTTACCAGATAAAACGCTAAAAATGAAGTGTGGATTCATTTGTACAGACAAACTGAAGTGTACGTACCGAATAGGACAGACAATTGAGGACGTATAAAAGCGTGACAAACAATCACGTTTATATAGAGTAAAAGCCAGAAAACTGAGGAATAGGATGACGATTAAAGTAATACTGAAGTGTATTTGATGCTGTTGCAAAGCAAATAGGTCTATTGTTAAGTTATTAAATCACTTATTTAGTTACATGGGTCTGTTTACAATGCAAAATAACTGTGTGTCATGTTTTTTGGACTATTTCAAGGCAAAGCTTGAGTCAAAGCTATATTTATCCCTCTTATTAGCCATGGCATCCCTGTTTCAAAAAAAGGACGCCAATTATGATGGGGCGCTATGAGGACGCACATGAAAACAATATTTATGTGTATTGGATGTTGTTACAAAGTAAATAGTTTTTCTAGTGACCTATTATGAAATGGGTCTGTTTACACTGCACAATGGACACTTGAAGTGATGACTTGAATCTAATAGTCGTCTTCCTTTTCCGGAGTTTTTTATTCTTATTGTATGGTGTTAAGGCAATAAACTTACCGACGGAATAATGCTGAATGTTATGAAAGCTGTCTATTGACGGATTAAAAACCGGATCCATGCTGTCAAAAAAAACAGGGTTCAAATCCCCAGCACGTTCTGGGGGATAAAAAGTCCATTTCTTCACCCCAGATACTAAATACATCCAAAAATGAGATCCAAAAGCAACAATATGAAGTCCACTTTTCGTCCCTCTTGGACCAATGAACAGACTTGGCCAGCTATCCCGGTAGAGGGATCCTAAAGGCGTTTTCATCAACAAATTGTGAGAAAAATATTGCGGAATTTTGAAATCTGCCGCCAACTTAGGCGCATTAAGCGGCAAACTCCAGTCAAAGAGGTAGTTTTGGGACGAGGTCTGATCCAAAAAGTCGTGTACTGTTTGAACCTTGACATCTTGTAGGTTTGCCCACTCCGTGGACTCGGGGCAGCTAGACTTGACGGTCACCTTGCTCTCACCAGCTTGAGATCTAAACAAAGTCAGGGATAATAATAAGAAACCGAAAATTCTTGTAAATATATATAACCCTGCCACATGGAAATAGCCTTAAGAATGATTTGAAACATGTATCACATGATAAAAATATATGTTTTCCAGCTGGTTCTTATAGAAATAAACAACAGAATTGGAGTGGATTTTTCTTAATGGATTGGTGGTCTGCTTTTGCACTTGATCAAACAAATTGACAGCCTTTTTTTTAGGGGAGGGGGTGGTAAGGTTGGGTAAAGATAATTTCTGGGCCAAGCGCAAGGGATCGTCAGGTAATAAAGTAGATGTTATCTAAAAATAATACATATATTTTTTTTTAACTTCTATTCATAGAAATCTATGAAAACGACAGATATAACCCCCTTGACTGCAGATGACATGATAAGGCGAATCGGAAAAATTTCTTTTGCCAAAAATTTTAAGATTGAAAAATCCAGACTGATCTGTATTATTAGATTTTCTAACTTTTAAATCCAGTTTGGAACTTAACTTAACTTTGGATTTAAACTTTTTAGATTGTGAACTTGAAATAAATTATAATGAGGGGGTCCCACACACAAAGGGAATACAGGAATTTTAATGTTATCCCTACATAGAAAACATTAGGGACTAGAGCGTAAATAAACCATATTGGCGTCATTATTGTGAAGTTTTTTGGGTGAGAGTCATAGTCATCTTTTTTCCCTTTTTAAAGTATTTCAGATCAAACACATTCTTCATTTTCCAGGGTTAAACACTGTTTATTGACAGTTTTCAAGCGATTTTGATTTTTCGAAAGTTTAAATAGAAATTATTTTTAAAATTAGAATCGAATGTCCAAGGTCCTGGAGTCGTGCGTCGTGTTTAAGTAAAGTTACAAAGCTGCGCTTCTGAGAAAATTGGGTAGATTTATCTTAAAGTGCGATTTTTTAAAATGCAAATTTGAACAGGTAAATATTATTCAATTTAATAGGTATAATTTGATTTAGAAACTTTTTATTCCAATGACTACTGCCAGGGAACATATGTTTTAATGTTCCTCCTTAAACCCCCCCCCCCCCCCCTCCATACAAACTTTGTAACCTTATATAGTCGTGAGTCCAGGGTTGGGAGGTGGGTGGGGGACACCCTGTAATTATAACACCTCTTCTTTTAGCAACATAATTAACCTGGAAATTAACATTGAAAATTCTAAACTTTTCTTCCAAATTAATATTTTGAATTGTTATGTAAATATGTATGATATAATGTATATCATGTTTTATTCGTTTTTGTAAAATGCAAATTGAAACAACCAGAAATGGTTAGGCTGCATCCCCGGCTCATTACCTTTTAGTCATTATTGTTAATCAAAAATATAAGTTGATTATACAATACAGAATAAGAAGAAGCAAGTTGCCATTTTTCCCTGTTATTACTAAAAAATTTCGCGGTTTTTCGTTTTATTTGCATTTTCATCCATGAAAATTATTGTAGACATTTTTTTTAACTTTTCAATATTCCAACTTTGACGTTACATAATCCTTCCATGGGTCATATGAGTTATCAGAAAAAATTGGGCCCGATCGGTTCAGCCGTTTTGGGGTTTACTGGATATAGAACGACAAAAAATAACAGACAACCCGAACTTAAAAAATAGAAGAATGTGTATAGTGTAGAACCTACTCTAAAATCTTCAATCGATAAATCTGCGGCAGGTATTCGTTGTACTGAAAGTTTTATTGCGTCTTTTCCGCCATGTTTAAGTTCTACGTCACCATTTTTGAATTCTTCGTCGCCATTTTTAGAATCTCCGTCGTCCTCTTTATGTTCTTTGTCACCCTCTTTTAATACTTCGTCGTTTTTATTCAGTTGGTCGACATTTTTAAAGTCTGATGGTTTTGATTGTAGCAGCATTTGCTTTTCAGCTCTTAGTTTAAAATACAGCCAAACTGCTTCCTGCTGCTCTTCACTCCAGCCCTCAACAATAACTTTATATTCCTAAAATCAATACGACTTTTTTCTAAATTTAATCATGGAGTTGTACAGTAGATGGATGGTAATTCAGATTTTGGAAGACAAAATATTTGAAGAGAATAGACGAAATTGTATACTGTGTACATTTAGGCTTTCCAATTATCTTAGATTAGTGGAACCTAGATTGGTTCTATCAATATAAAGTACGGTAATAACACTGTAACCAGAATACTGTCCTCTTCATTCTTTCTTTTAATTATACAATTTTGTAATTTGTAACTGTTGCAAAATCCTTATCTATAATTTTTTTAAGTAAAGAAAAAAAAAAGACGACAACCATTCAACTGTTTTCTGGTAACGCTATATTTCATATGAAATTAGACTCTTCTATTTCAATTGTGAACATTTTCTCTTTGTAAACATTGTAAAACAAAAACAAAACAAAAAATTTCGCGGATTTTCTAAAAAAATTTCGTGGATTTTCAAAATTTTCAGAAATCAAATTTTGTTAGAGGCAAATTTTGAAATTCGCTCCTCCATATACCTTCCCTGGGGTCACGTGACGTCCAACAAAAAATTTGGACCCGATCGGTTCAGACGTTTATTGGATACAAACGGACAGACAGACAAGCAAAGTATATATGTAAATATATAAGATTTTCTGAACAAAATAAACTAATTTGTGATAAAAAAAATGATTCTTTTTTACCTTTGATTTAGCTGAGATGATCAAATCTGGTTGAATATTTGACAATTTCAGACTTCGCAAACAGTAATCTTTTTTAAAAAAGGTATCATGTTAATTTTCTTCAACTTCATACCTAATACAGACAAAGAGAATTAAACATATATTAGAGTGGAATTTACTAGAAAAAAGTGTAAAACGGCCATTTTGTTGTACTGTTTCATACTGCAGGTGTACTTCGCATATTTGCGCTATATAACCTTTTGGGCCCTGGAACATCATTTTATAGAAAATCTAAAAATTAATATTGAAGAAAACCAAATTATGAAATAGGCTGGTTTCATAATTGACCATTGATCATTTCACATAGATTCTATGCCTTTCACTTTACAAACGATGATTTTCCGTTATAAATGGTGTTTTTTATTCACCTAATTCATTTTATAAAGTTTATTTAACAGCTAAAAAAAAATCGAATTTGAAATGGATAGTCTATGGAACATACTGTAATAATGTACTCCACTGCATATAATTTGTGAACATTTACATGATTTGTACACTTTGAACTCCCTTTCAGGCTGAAAGGGACTGACAAAATTCATACCGAGGGACTGTTTAAATTCCTCTTTAATATATATTCTATTCTCTTAGCATAAAGAACTTAGGGGGACATCGAAAGAATGCTGTTAATGAAATGCTGCAGATATTTAGTTTTTCATTGAACTCTTTAAAACTTTAAGTGTAAACCCATTGGAAAATTGTCAAGACAAGATTTTATAAGTTCTTTCGATGTCTCCAAAGTTATGGGTTTAACTGCAGCAAAATGACTTTTTCATTGCCTTAATGAATTTTGGCTTTGGTGAAGAAAAAAATTAGCATAATATGTAATAACAAAATGATAATAAAATTCATCATTTTTAATGAAATAGAAGTTAGAGCCATTCTTTGTTTTAAAAAATGATCTATAATTTTAGTCCCCCATAAACTGACCTATAGCTGTGTCGGTTAGGTTGAGTAGGTCACAGTATGTCGCGAGCACTCTATAGAACTCACAATTATCTTCATATTTTGGTTCCTGCTTTTCCAGAACTCTACTCAAACAAATAATCTATCAATCAATCAACTTCGTCTCAACTTAGTTATTTTAGACTCAATTTAGTCTCAATTTAGTCTTTATGATTAATTTAGTCTTAATTTATTAACTTAGTCTCAATTTAGTCCATTAGTCAAATAATCAATTAGTCAAAATAAGTCAGTTAGTCAATTAGTCAATTAGTCAATTCGTCAATTAGTCAATTCGTCAATTAATCAATCCATCAATCCATGAATCTATCAATTCATTAATCTATCAGTCCATCAGTTCATTATTCCGTCAATCCATCAATCCATCAATCCATTAATCCATCAATCCATCAATCCATCAATCCATCAATCCATCAATCCATCAATTCATCGATCCATCCCTCCACCTATCCATGAATCCATCAATCCATGAATCCATCAATACATCTATCCATGAATCCATCAATCCATCAGTCCACCAGTCCATCAATTAAATCAATCAATTCAATAATCAATAAATCAATCATTAAATCAATCAATAAATCAATCAATAAATCAATCAATACATCAATCAATACATCAATCAATAAATCAATCAATAAATCAATCAATAAATCAATCAATAAATCAATCCACCTGAGTTTCTGATTAAGGAACTTGACACCCTCCTTGGTACTTGTAGCTTGGTAGAGCCTTGAACTTGGGTTTAAATTACTCGCAACAACTCCCGAATTGCAAGCATTTTGTCTACGCAACCATGTAGCAAACGCTACACGCGCAACAGGTTCGTCAAAGTCTAACTTAGCGCGCTTACTTTCTGAAATAAGAAAAAGGTTTTGTTTCAAGCTATTAACCAACATACATGGATAATTGATATATACCTTTGTCCATATTCGTTTCAGTAAATATCTTTGACAAGATTAAAGATTTTGCATTTTCCTTAAAGCATACAGTTTAGAATGAACACCTATGATTTTTGTAGAGCCTTCAAAAGGAGTGTTTAAGAAAAAATTTTAAAACATTCTTTTTTTTCTATATTCTCAACTCATTGTAAAAATGAACATCTAAAAAAGAGACCGTCAACTCATTTCAATTGACCCTCCGATTGAGGGGAATTCCCGATTCACAACGGTACCTTAATTATCATTATCTTATTTTACAATTTAAAAAATGTTTTCTTCCGCATTATTTCTAAAGCAAGAAATGTGCAAGTTAATTATGTAGAGAACCCACAATTGAAAATTATCAGTTTTCACAAAACACAAACATGGATATCTTATTCCAACCTGATAACAAATCTTTAAAGCGTACCGTTGTGCATTGAGCATGCCACTCTACTAAAGGACATTGAATTCAAACTACGTTTTTAGTAATGACTATATTTCTACCTTTGTATGTTAAAGTGGGGATACAGTCGGCTTCATTATCCTCGCCACTTTCCTCCAAATCTGCTGCAGGAAGAATATTAAAGATCTATTTTTTTCACAAACACCCCTCCCTAGTCCCCACCCTCTACCATCCAGATTGAAAATCATTTGTGGAAGAAACTTCTACTTTGCTGTTTTTTATTTAATATTAATCTACCTTTAAAATGCAATCGCCCAAAGATTTTAGTGAATTTTGAATACTTTCGAGAATTTAAACATGGGAATTATGTGCCGACTTTTGTATCGTCTTTGTTCCGCGCGGCATTATTATTACTCGTTAAATACAATTTTAGTTCAGTGATAACCAGAAAACAATGAAGTAGGAAGACAACGTTATAGCAATACTTAGGTGTATTTAATGTTGTCCGTAAAGCCCTTGTTTTGACCTACTATTTGTCATTTATCAACTATTAGATATCAAACATGATCTACATGTTGTCTCTTAAATCTGCTGTTTATTGGGACACCCTGAATTACTTATCATCTACTAATAGCGCCAAACTTTCCTTCTTAAAATACAAGAATAGAAATTTAGAATAAATAAATCTTTCAACTTTTGGCATTCTCATCAATTCCTCCAAGGTCCTAAGTCTACTTGCAATGCACTTGTCCTAACATAATTTCATGTAACCTTGGCATTTCATGAGTAAATAATTTGTAATTAGAACAATTGTACATTAAAAGCTTGTTTTTTAATTTAATTAATAATCTTTTACGTTAACTGCGCAAGCTATAATTTAATTATTTTCTTTCAAGAAAATTTCGACCGTTTAGAAAATAACTTCCTGGCTCTATAAATACGTATTTCGATATATTGTAAAACCTTTTCAATATAGTGTAATGTTTAATTTAATTTAATTTTGATGCGGATCCGGATCCTGGATCTGCACTGAAAAATATGGATCCGGATCCTGGATCTGCACTGAAAAGATTGGATCCGGATCTGCACTGAAAAATATGGATCCGGATCCTAGATCTGCACTGAAAAGAATGGATCCGGATCCTGGATCTGCACTGAAAAAAATGGATCCGGATCCTGGATCTGCACTGAAAAGAATGGATCCGGATCCTGGATCTGCACTGAAAAGAATGGATCCGGATCCTGGATCTGAACTGAAAAAAATGGATCCGGATCCTGGATCTGAACTGAAAAAAATGGATCCGGATCCTGGATCTGAACTGAAAAAAATGGATCCGGATCCTGGATCTGAACTGAAAAAAATGGATCCGGATCCTGGATCTGAACTGAAAAAAATGGATCCGGATCCTGGATCTGAACTGAAAAAAATGGATCCGGATCCTGGATCTGAACTGAAAAAAATGGATCCGGATCCTGGATCTGAACTGAAAAAAATGGATCCGGATCCTGGATCTGAACTGAAAAAAATGGATCCGGATCCTGGATCTGAACTGAAAAAAATGGATCCGGATCCTGGATCTGAACTGAAAAAAATGGATCCGGATCCTGGATCTGCACTGAAAAAAATGGATCCGGATCCTGGATCTGCACTGAAAAAAAATGGATCCGGGTTTAACAAAAATTATTTTTAAATTTTTTGTTTTATTTTGATCGCTTATTTTTATCCTATGACTTGAAGAACCATTCAGAAATGAGGAAATTTTTATAATCTCTTTTTTCAAAAATTCAGATTTGGGTTTTAGGAGTTCAACAGTTTTTTGTTGCAGTTTTTAGTTGATAAATTACCCCTTGGTTCCGGATCCGTGGAAACCAAAATCTTGCGGATCTAACGGATCCGGATCCTAAGCACTGGTTTATACTACATAAAAGAAATAAACATTGACAGAAGAACCCTCGATAGTGGAAGTTACATCATATTTTATCAGTTTAAAAGGTATTAAGGTTTCTTGAAGGTCGGCGAGAATCAACATATTTTATAAATCTATTAAATAAAAAGAAAATATTTATTTTAATCTAACGCATTATTTGAATAATTGCTGAGGCCGATCGTCTTTAATCCTTAGCCAAGCATACAAAAATGTGACAAACAACGTTCCAAGTCTTTATTACTTTAAGTCTCAAGAAATCTTTAATCCTAAGCCAAGCATACAAAAATGTGACAAACAACGTTCCAAATCTTTATTATTTTCAGTCTCAAGAAATCTTTAATCCTAAGCCAAGCATACAAAAATGTGACAAACAACGTTCCAAGTTTTTATTAATTTAAGTCTCAAGAAATGTTTAATCTAGTCCCATTACTTCATTTGCATTATTCACACCCGTAACATGATCCAGTGTGGACTGTGGAGGAGGCCAGCACGAGATCTGTTCTATAGAATCCATTTTACAAAATACCTAATAGCATACGATCTGAAAACAATGACATCGGTATTTTTACGAGGATGATAATTTATTCTGAATATTCGATTACAAAATAAGGTTAAATCACACAACCATGCCAGAGTAAACTTTTTTCCGAGGCCTCGCGTTGGGAGGTTTTCTTTTCCTTTCCGACATGGAGTAAATAATAATTCTGCTTTTAACGTCCTTGAAGAGATATAACTGTAGGAGAATAGGATGAGGAGTAGGGAGCAGAGTATTATAAAAATACTCCGGCCCAACCCTGATCCTTCACACTTTAATTTATCCAACACCATACATAGAATTGGGATAACTAGTCCTGAGAGCCCGGGAGACATTCTAATATTTTCTCCCGCTCGTTTAGCCATTTGACAATTTGGATGTTTTTAGCTCGTCAATATGGACGAAAATGCTATTCTCGTCCGATGAGAATTGAGGTGGGCAGTCCGATCTAATGCTTCTTGACCGTGGTCCATTCATCGGATTCAGGACCGGGACGAGTAGAGGGGCGGGGAGCGTCACGTGGTGGACCAGGATGATCATCACGGCGAGGCTCAGACTTGCCAGATCTCCAGGAATCACCTCCTTCGTCATGCCGCGGTGCGCGATCACTTCTGACAGAACCACGATCGTCCCTAACCGGAAAACTTCTCCATGAGTCTTCGGTCGGTCTTGGTGGTACTCTGTCATCATAATCTCGACGCATGAAACGATCACCTCTTCTTGGTCCTCGATCGTCATCCCGGCCTAATCCACCACGGCGATCAGGAGATCTTGGGGGAGCATCACGTCTCCAATTTCTGTCGGGACTTCCACCTCGTCTAGGAGGGCTTCCGCCGCGTCTAGGACTTCCACCGCGTCTTAGATGACTTCCTCGCCTGGGTGGACTTCCACCGCGCCCATCTCTCCGATCGTCATCGTCTCTTCGATCCCGATCATCTCGACGATTCACGGGTCCCCACTCTGCCTCCTTTTTCTTCTCTCTGTCTCTCCAGCTGGTACCTCCGCCGGAACCTCCTCCGGGACCTCTCAAGGCTCCACCTTCATCTCGAACTTTATAAGCTCTCTCCGCCGCATCCTTCTCCCGCATTTCCCTTTTCTCCCTCTCCAGCTTCTCTTCAATCTCCAATTCCTTCCTTCTCATACGATCTGCAATCTCATCCTGTTCCTTCTTCCTCCTCTCCTCCTCCTCGTCCTCCCTCTTTTTCCTCTCCTCCTCCTCCTCCCTCTTCTTGATCGCTTCCTCATCAGCTCTCCTCTGCATCTCCTCCTCCTGCGCAATTATCCATTTTCTTCGTCTCTCCTCCATTCGTTCCTCCTTCCTCTGTTCAAGTCTCTTGGCTCGCTCCTCCTTCAGGTATCCCTCAAACTCCTTGGCTTTCTTCTCAAACACGTTCTTTCTCTCCTTGATGAGCCCTTCGAGATACATGTTCTTCTCTTCGGTCATCCTAAACAAATAATAATTCAGTTAAGAATAGTTTTTAGAAGATTCCTTAATTTGAACTAGTTAGAATCAAGTGCATTCAAAACCGTTGAATTTCTCAGTAACCCTCAATACAAAAAAAAGAAGCCAGCGCGATTCACAACAGTACCAATATTACCTTTAGTACCATAACCTAATAAATATATTTTTCAGCAAGTATCTAATTCTGGAGTAAAGTCCCTTCACTTTTGTTGAGAAACCATAATTAAAAATTGTCATTAAACAAAACCTTAGATTTCTAATTTAATGATCATACTAATGCAGACAAAACTTTTTTCAAGATAAATGTTTCCGAAAATTTCAAAAACCCCCCCCCCCCCCCAAATGTCCTTCTCAACCTTTAACACCTTAGTATTTTAACGCTTGCAGTTGCTCTCATTTTGGGCCCCTTGAAACTTTTAACTATAGTATTTGAGAACCAGAGGTGTTCACATTTTCCTGAAAATTCGATTCTCCCCGGCCCTTTGAAAATCGATCATAAATTTTTGGGTAGTAAATTAAACCATGAGAAAAACTTCCCTTTTATGTCCAATTTTTCAGTTTCTTTTCAAAAATAATTTTTTCATTCAATAAATTCATAAATTAATTGATAAAAAACCTGGATAAATAAAAAGTTTCCTTGCCTGATCATTCTCTTCTTGTTCTCTACATCCTTCTCTCTCTGCTCCTTCTCCTTCAGTATCCTCTCCTGCTCCTGCTCCTCCCACACCTCCTTCCTCTCTAGCTTCAGCACCTCGTGCTGCTCCTTCAGCAAGGGGATCTCCTCAAGACGTTTAGCGCGCTCCATATGATCAACCTTCTTCTCCTGGGCCTTCAGCCGAACCTAACAGAAGTGAAATTTTATGAATGTGGTATAATTTCAACTCGGTTTAACCACAGTTTGAGACTTATCGTTTTTTAATTTGTCTCAAGAGCCATATTAGAAGGTCAAAATTGCTGACATGATCATGCTCAGAATGACATGAGCATGTTCAGAATGTCAAATACAAAAATAAGATACGCATTCGATGCCCTTGAACAAAAATATGTGAACTATTTACAGAAATTCGTTACTTTCCACGGAACAATTCATTTAACAATAAAATAATCTTATTTCATCTGGACCCACCCCCTTATCTTCAAAAATAAAGCTATCCCCCGTAATTTCCGAAAAATTCTTTTATAATTATGGGTCCGTCCTTTCTTGTGCTACTGCACAACCCGTTTTGTCTGTGAAAAATGCTACATCCCTTGATTTTGCCATTCCAGGTTAAACTTAGATAGATAATAGTTACGCCCCCNAATATTAGTAATTAAACATTGAAAATTCCGTTAATAATGATCTACCTGTAGTTCCTTCTTCTCCTTCTCAAGCTCCTCGACCTGCCTCGCCATAATCTCGTCGGCGTCCATCTTGGCAATCTCCTCCTCGTCCAGTTTATCCAACACCTGGAAAACAGTCAGGGTTGTATATTTTCTAGAAAATTATGACTTGGATCCGGATTCAATTTTATTCATGGCAGAAACGCTTCATAATAAAATTGATCTTAAGCACTGGTTCAAAATATTTTACCTTCTTGCCGAACTCTGTATTCTTGAGCTGGGCTATCTTGTCCTGAGTATGCTTGGCCTGGATATCCCTGATCTCCTCCTCCTTCCTCCTTCTCTCCCTCTTATCCCACTCCTCCTTCAACCTGGCCTCCTCCTGCTTCTTCTTTTCCCTCTCTCTCAGCTCGTGCTGTTTCATCTTCTCCTTCTGTTGCTCCTTGTTGCAGTTCTCCAGCCATTCTTTGCGCTTCTCAATGATGTCATGACGCGCCAAAAGCCTGAAAAATGTTTTATGAATTTCTAATTTGTAAAAATTCAACATTAAGTGTCTTAAAAATATTACTCCGCCTATTTCCTTATAAAAACCTTCTTAAAACTAGTTTACATAGATCAACCCAGTTTTATATTATTTGAAGGTACCGTAAACATAAGCATTCCCGATTTCTTAGGAAGTACGTAATCAAACATTGTGGAAGGTCGATTGAAATTACGCCCGTAGTATAAAAAATGTGACTAACCTAAGATGATCTCTTGATTTGCATTGATGATAAGCCTCGACAATTCTTTTCCTTAGTTCAGCATTCTCAACTACATTCCTGAACAAAGATTTAGTTTTCTCAACTACATTCCTGAACAAAGATTTAGTTTTCTTAACTACATTCCTAACAAAAATTTTGTTTTCTCAACTTCATTCCTAACAAAGATTTAGTTTTCTCAACTACATTTCTATCAAAGATTTAGTTTTATCAACTACAAGCCTGAACAAAGATTTAGTTTTCTCAACTACATTCCTGTACAAAGATTTAGTTTTCTCAACTACATTCCTAACAAAGATTTAGTTTTCTCAACTACATTCCTGAACAAAGATTTAGTTTTCTCAACTACATTCCTAACAAAGATTTAGCTTTCTCAACTACATTCCTGAACGAAGATTTTGTTTTCTAAGAAGCTTTAGCGTTCTCTACAACATTCCTAAACAAAGATTTAGCCCCAAACGGGGCTGAGTGAGTCCTGACATATTCTAGAAAAAAAATTTAATTTTACGTCTTCACATAGTACGCGTACTGCATGTATAATTGTATGACAACACCGTAGAAAGAACGAGCAAAGAGTCTGTGTGTATATATTAACCTTTCTGGATGAATAGTTTGGATTGCTCCGTCTAGAGAGACCATCATTCTCATCAGCTGGGTACGAATTTGCTCACTAGGCATGGATTGCACATGAGGACCTGGAACAGCAAGCTAGGTTTAAGAACAGCATGGGTATAATTCATCAAGCTCTGGTGGAAAAAAATGTTGACTTGAAAAAGGCTTGTTTTATCATCCATTCTTGACAAAATGCGGGGTTAGTTGGGGAGAAATTTTGTCAACATTATTAAAATCAATGTCATTCGATTTCTTAAACTTCTTATGAACCATTTATTCCAAAATTGAAACTTCTCTGACAACAGGAAACAGATATTATGAATAGCGACAGGTATTTCAG